TTTTGTCACCCGCCATTCAGGTCAACAGTGTTGCCCGAATGTATGGATTGGAAATTGAAGTCTGCTTATTTCAAAATTTTTACTTCTTGATAAAAAAAAGTTATAATTTGTCACTCTGTCCTATTTTACGTTAGTTTCATTGATCAATAAAATAATTTTAAGGAAGACAGGAAATTTTTTTGCAAGGAAATTAGTGTTCTATGAAGAAAATTACCAAAAGAGTTGGAGGAAAAAAACACTCTAACGTCTTAAAAAAAAAAAACAAAAAAAAAAAACACCGTAAATATTTGCAGCTGCCATTATTTGTTGCTCTCAATTTGGATGACGACCGACGTTTTCATCCATCAGTGAACAAAACAACCTTATGTTTGTATATTTTTCGCGATTTTCTTTTTACCTTGGGCACAAAATAAACATTGAGAAACACGCGCTCTCCCCGTGAGCTCTCTCTGAAATCAATTTCGTTTCTCTCTTTCTCTCTGTAGCAACAGGCGGGCTGCCTTGTTTGTAGCCAACATAATGCCATAAGAGAGGATCCCTCTGGAATAAAATACGTATTGGTTCTGTACAAAGTAGTACTTGCTGTGAGCACCCGGAGGCGGTGGGGAATTAAGTGGTGAGCGCGCGAGAAATGTTTTTGTTTTCAGCACTGGCAAGGAGATTTGTTGCGATGGATTTCTCGATAAAATGCGCGATGACAGAACCAATTTTGTGTCCCGCAGGCCGGGCAAAATTCGGCCAGTTTAACTTTTTAATTAGTTGACTTATTTGTTTCTTGTCAACCCCAGCAGTTTTTTTTCGCCAGCGGCATGTTGCGCTCGTATTTTGTTATAAATTGCTTTTGCCTTGATTGTTCCGAGAACAACTCTGGTGACGGTAAATAAATTGATTTCACTACAAACATACCATTGAAAGGAAAATATTTTCCGGGAAAAGGAAAGGTCTGAAGATATTCTTGTGTAAATACACAAAGAGCGGATCTATCAAATCGAGGTTACATTATCTCTGTACCTTTCATTTCAATCAAACGGAAGCAAAATGATTTTATTTTTAGGAATTAAATTATTTAAATTTGTCATTTTTCAAATTACGAATGATGAGATTTTAAAATTTAAAAACATTAATTGCAGTTTAACTAATACTATTAAGGTGAAGAAATATGCGCTAAAAATTAGAGCATGCTTTAAGAACATTTATAATAAATAAAATTTATTTTTCCCTTGATCAATATATTTTGGACTAATCGTGAGAAAAATCATAAACTTCAATATATTGACATACACTATTCTGACACTGAAATGTTTTCATTTTCTGACCGAGACTTGATGTCTTACAAGAAGTATCGAGGATTATGACACAACCCTGTCAGCTTTAGTGATATGCTAATCCAGCGCTCGTGACACATGTGCAACACGAATGCTAAATTTTTTTCTCCCCAAAGCGGATTATCGTCTCGTTTCTCTCGCGCGAGCAAAAAGACCAGTGTCGAGATTCGATTCGAGTTGCCCTTTAATGGCGGTCGAAAGGCTTTTCGGTCCGAGGACAGCTCGGACAAGAGTAATCCCGAACCGGCGCCAATTTCATCAATGTACCAATTCGAGCCGCCTTTTCTAATCTCTTTTGACATACACGGCTCGTCTCTCTCTCTCTCTTGGGCTGGCTGGTGGGCGGCAGATAAAGAATAGCGCTCATTTGAATAAATTGCGAGACACTCTCTGTTGCGAGAGAGCAGCAGTTTGATTTATCCAGTTGGAGAATGCTGGGCGTAGAATTCAGCTGTATGAACAGAGACATCATCAATCTCTTTGATTTGGCGTGCAGTGGAGGCACATCACAATTGATTTGTAATGAAGAGCTCTTTTTACGACCTGCGGTTTGCATTTCAAAGCGAGATGGCGACGTTTCTCCAGAGCGAATAAGAAGAATATAACAAATTTATTTTGCAAAAGGAAAGTTGAACAATATTCAGAGAGAAAAATGTCTAAGTTTTTTCGAAATAAAATGAAACTTCATTGAAAATTTTCTGAATTACTTAACATCTATGAATAATATTACAAAAAATTAAAAAATAAAAATCATTATAGGGGCTTATTTACAACAAAATCACTAAAAATTTTAATCTGTTTAATTATATAATTTTTAGAAAAATAGATAAAATTCCTACAACAAAAGAATTAAATTTAGAAAACAGAAATATTTCTAAAAAAGCAAAATGTTGACTCTAATAGGTAGGAATATAAAGTCAAGAGTGTTATATCTAAATTTTTACTTTGTTTTTACTTCATAAATTTTTTTCACAGATTCCTTTTCTGGAAATTTTATACTTAAAAATTTTAGATCGAAAATATTGTACATTTGTTATTTGCAGGATCTTTATCTATGTTTGGTAACAGAACACCAGAGTTACACTTTCAACTGGGAATGTATAAATTATCAATTTATTTGCAATTTATTGCAAAACTTTAAGTTTTTAGGCCTTTTTTTAAAACTGCGTTTGCATTATTGATGAAGTATGACGGGGAGAATTGATTGATCACACATTAATTTAATATCAGAGGGTAGCTGTGCTTGTTGCTTGCGGAGGCGTTTATTTTTGGCGAAATTTATATATCAGCTGCCAATTTAGGTGTCACTCGGCGCCGCGCTCGAATCCATCTTCGAAATTGCATCTTTTGACAGCGCACGTGCGCTGCAAAAAACCGCCGAACGTGATCAAGGGATGCAAAGGGAGGGATTAGAAGGCACTACCGCCACTCCTCCACGTTTTTATTAAATATTAAAGCGGAGAGAGGTGAACGTGCGTACATAAGTCCTTGGAGTGCGCGTGAAGACGCCGGCAGCACTTTCTGCGTGTTGGTTTTGGCTCGGGGCCGCCCACGGGGTGCGTGACAAATGCCAACTTGGCCGGTTGCGCTCATCACGTAATGGCAGTGTTGACCCATTACAGGGTTTAAGGTCAAGCGTCCAAATATTGTTATGCAAATAATGGTGATTACACGCGCGCGCAGCTCCTCTCTTTACTGGTCACGCTCTGGATTTAATCTGAATGCAAATTTCGCCCTTCGAGAGGATGCCAAGAAAAGGAGATGTTTTGTCTTGCCGATGCTGATTTGATATTAAATCCTCTTTCTCGGGCTTATAATAAGCGGCGGCCCTTTCTGGCAAGCGGCTTTTGATGCATGTTTCTTTGCGGCCTTAATGCTGTTTTCGGTCGCCCTGTTTTCACCTTTACCTTCGGGGGCCTGTAATGCGCATTAGTTTCGGCCCGGCTTTTAAATTGGCGCACGCAAAAAATCTCAACTACAGCTCTCTGTGACCCTTGCCGGCTTTTTTTCTGTGGCAGCGCAGGTAAAGCCCTCGGCGCCACTAATGAAATTACTTCTCCACCAGGTTTTCTTTTCAATCCGCTCTTTCATCTAAGATTTGCTCTCAACTTTTCTTTAATCTGATTTGCGATCCTTTACCCAACGAAATAAAAATATAATTTTTAAAAGGAAAAATATGTTAGAAGCAGTGCAGAAAATTTTCCATCGCATGCAGCAAAATATTAAGAGAGATCGCCGGTATTTTTTCCTAAAGAAAAATTTCCTTAAAAAATTTCATGAATGTAACCGTTGAAATTACGATAAAAACGTGTACCATTAACAAAAAGCTATGCAACGTGTTTTCCCGTCAAATGTATGTAAGCCTTCAGGAGTATATTTGTTTAGCTCAGTTATAGTTACCGAGTTCAGTAAAAGTTTGAAATTAGCAATATCTTATGGACATCAAATCTTCTTCACAAGGAGCAAGACCAATCCGGGGGTTAAACAATTAATTTTAAATGTTTTGATCACGTTAGAAAAAAGGATGTTCACAAAAAATTCCTGTTTTGAAAGGGAAAAAATTTACCTTATGATGATTAAAAACTATAAAAACCAATGGAATGAAATTAAATTATATAGGAAATTTCAAAAGGTTGATTTGAACCATACATAAAATTAATCAAAAGTAGCTGAAGAAATTGTGCATTTAAAAATGCAGAGCATTTTTTTAAATTATTATTAATTATTTATTTATTGATTGTAATTCTTAATAGCCTGATGCTTCAATCAAATTTCGCACCGAAATAGAAAATATTTATCTGCCGACTAAAATATAGAACGCGAAAATAACAGGAAAATTGCTAGACGTATTATTCTCGGAAAGGAATAAAAAAAAAATGTTTGAAGCGCTTTAGCAACAGCAGAGAAGGGCTGGAGATTTTTTGAGCGAATATATCAAATGGCAGAGAGCGGGCGCGTAATTTGATGCGGTCAGCTTTAATGATGGCAGACTGCTTGAGAAAGCCAGCGCCATGGCTGACCTTTGAAATGTGTGTAGTAGCCTGGCCATATACATTAGACGGATATCTCTGGCCGCATGTACGCCGAGTGTACATGGTCTTAATTGGAAAAGCTGCTAGCTGCCGGGGCGTCAGGTAACCCAATTGAAAAAGCGGCGGCCAATTCAGTGCACGCCAAAGTCCTTTGATATACACACACAAAACTTTCCGGTCTGTAATTGTTAAGAAGAAATAGTCTTTCGAGGGTTTAATTGGAAATTGTCAAAGCGACATTCTAACTCTACGCCATTTTATATAGATGTATTTAATTTGTTTGTTTTCAAAACTAATCGATGCAAACAACAAAGGGCTGGGTGTCGCTTTGACATTTGAATCTCGAGCCTGGTTATTTTCATCACCAGAGCGCACTCGGCATCAATAACTTGCACAACACACTTATACGACAAACCGACACCACAGCCACTTTTGCAGCCGCAATTCGCTAAATTGCTCTGCTTGCTGGTTCGCAAATAGACTGGCTGGCTGCAGGCTTCATATGCAGTGGCATATTCGAACATTAAAATGCATGACCTGCTTTGAATGCAGCTCGTGCGCGGTGCAAGCTGCAATGCACTCCAATGATTATATTACACTCCGCCACTAATTTAGTTTCAATATCAACCTGTTTTGATTCCAGTCCGGCCACAAAAGTTCAACGGCGGTGTCAATATTTCTCCAAAATCAGGCCAGCATGGTGAGTTGTAAATTAAATGAGTAATTTTTATGGATTTTAATTATCATATTGATAACCAAAAACGTAACAAGCGAAAACAAAAAACCACAAGAAACAGTTCTAGTTTTAATATTGCCAAAATAAAAAAAAATCCATGACAGTGTTCATTTTTCTAGGAAAAACGATTATTACAACATTTAAAAACGATCCTTATAATGGTGAATTTAGAATATCCCGGCTTTTCTCGCATTGATGGATAATAATGTTCAGTTTAATTCTTCATTTCACTTCATGAATGCAAATATAATATATTTTAAATTTTGAAACTTGAAGAATTTTTACAAGTTTTAAAATTATTTTACAAGTTTACATTATTTAAATGTAAAAATTTAAATTTTCGCATGAGAAGAGGCCAGCGAAGTGCAAGTCAGCGCCTACCTCAAATCGCACCCCGACTTTCTTGAGCAGTGGCTCATGGAGGAGGTGGATCTGGAGCAACTGGAGCGGTGGATGATCCGCAAGATGCAGCGCGACAAGAAAAAGCAGCCGGCTGACGCAAATGGTATTCCAGACATTCTGCGAAGAATCTATTATGCATTGTTTTCTTTCGACAGGAAAAGTTGGCAGAAAGACTAGTCTATCCCGGTGGAAGGTGAGTGCACATTTTCTTTTTTATTTTCACTCCGCCGAGTGCGAAACCAAATTTCGACAAGATAAAAAAAAATAGAGCGCACCAGAAGTTGCTTTCCTTTGTTGCCGCGCCTATTAAGTTTACTTCAAAAGTCAAGGCGAATATCTTTTTATTTTCCGCTTGCTCACAGTAAATATAAACAACGATCGAGTGCAACACAGTTTCAGTAAACGCTGTTTGCCAGTGGTAAACGCAGGCAACAGTAAAATAGTCCGTTTTGTGTTTGTGTGTAGTTCTGCGTGCATGCAGATAAGAGACAGATGCTGCAGGAGTTGACCCATTCTCTGCAAACAAAACCGGACCGCTCCAACGTGCTTTGGGAGTTGGCCAGCTGCATCTGCTCGGCGGTCAGCGCCGACGGCTTCAGGCTCTACTTGGCCGAGCCCAACCCGAGTGGCGTCGAAAACATCAGGGGCTCCGAACTGATGGGACAATACCTGGGCCACGACATCAGGTGCGTTAGTCGTACAATTCTATTTTATTTGAAAAAAAGGTGAATTTGATCAAGAAAGTCGGCTAAAATAATTGAGCTTTTAAATATTTAGGATACAGTAAAATTTAATTTTTATTAAAAATAAAATGAATTTAAACAAGCTATTTGAGGAAGTACAATTTTAATCTTTTATAATATTTTATTTTTCTGTTGAACAAACGTTAAAAACTTGAATAACTTTTGTTCTGGTATAATCCGCGTAAAAATGTTTTGCAAAATTTTTAGCACACAAGAAATTGACTTCATTCAACGAAATTGATAGAATATAACTAAAAATTTAATTAAATAAAAATGACTTTTTGATGTTTTATTAATTGAAACTTTAATATAATAAAATTTAGATATTAATTGTTTTGTCAATTCAACTGTAAAATTTTTTTATAGTTTTAGATTATTTAAAAAATAAAAATCAAATCAAACTGACCAGTAGGAGTTCTTATTTTTCTGGAAAACTAGAATTTACAAGACCTTGTGAATCGCTTTTAACTTGCAGATCAGAGAGTGGGGAGCCTCTGCTGATTCCAATCAGCTCTCCCACGACCGTTCCTGAGTTCGTGGCCCGCAGTCGAGAACCGCTAAGACTTTCCAAAGGCTCAGGAGACCAAAGATTTCCGGTGCCGTCGCCGCGTTCCGAAGGCAAAGACGTAAGTTCCCATATTCGGCGGCAGATGCAGAAAGAAATTTTTTGACTTTTCAGAATTCGGTTTTGGAAGCGGAACACGCGCTGTGGCAGCCGATTGTGCAGGCGGACAGCGAGATGACGGGCGTGTTGCTGATGTGGCGGCGGCAGGGGCCGGCGTTCCACGAAGAGGACGAGGAGATCGCGCGGAGTTACCTGGTGTGGGGCGGCATCGCCCTGCACTACGCCCAGCTCTTCTTGTCCATCGACAAGACCCGCAGACTTAACGACTTCCTCCTCAAAGTGGTCAAGTGAGAGAGCCAACGAAAATTTTCACCAAAGTTAGAGGTTGATTGTGATGTGCGTGTTGCAGATCGATTTTCCAAGACATGGTGAGCATGGACGCTTTGGTTGTGAAAGTGATGACGTACGCGCAGCGTCTGGTGGACGCGGACAGGGCGTCGCTTTTCCTCGTCGACTCGAGGAGCAAAGAGCTCTACGCAAGAATATTCGACATGGGCACTGACGACAGCAAGGACAGCGAGGAAAATTCGTCAACTCGAGGCAAGGAGATAAGGTTCGTGCTGAAAAATTAAGTATTTTTTTTTTTTAAATTTAATATCATTTAAAAAAAATTATTTTTTTCTTCAAAATTCTTACATTCTATTTACATCAATAATTTACTAAAAATAAATATATTAACTCAAAAGGAAAAAGAAGGAACACGTAATAAACATAATTATAAATGATAACGGTAATACAGAGAAATTTAATTTTATATATATTTCCATAATAGTCTGGAAACCATAATAAAATAATACCATAAAAAGATTATTTTTTATTAGAATTAATTTTTAACTTCAATAATATAAAGTATTTTTAGCAATTTTTAGAATTTTTCTCTTGCCAAACAGCAGAAGAGCAACAAGTTTTAACGATTATTTTCATAGCAGCAATTTTAGAAGAGTTCGTTATTTTTAACAAGAAACACTATTTTCCCCGGAGGAATTGAGAATGAGACTTTTTTATTTTGTTTTCTTGCCTACGGGGTTTCCCTACACTAATTGAGGGAAAGTAATGGGGGCGCATTGGCACGTCCACTCTAGCCCCGTCGGCGGGATAAGTAAAACTCAATCGATTGGCAGCTAATGGAGGTTCGTGTGAACGACAGATTTCCCCTGGGCACCGGGATCGCAGGTCAAGTGGCTCTGACGGGCGAAGTGCTCAACATCACGGACGCGTACTCGGACCCGCGGTTCAACCGGACCGTGGACCAGCTGACCGGCTACCACACACGGACCATCCTGTGCATGCCCATCTTCATCAGGGGCATCACCATCGGCGTCGTGCAAATGGTCAACAAACGCTGCGGCCTCTTCACAAAGGTGAGCAGACGCACCTGAATAATTCATCTCTTTCGCCGCCGCTGGCTTAATGCATGCTCGCACACACACACAGACACACACGCGGCCAGGGCAAACACACACACCCCGCTGTGCAGTCTCCCTGCGTGCGGGAGCATTATTTTGTGACGCTGCGGGGGGCAGTGCGACAACGCTCGTTTTCCAAACACTAATTCAATTTGACTGTGAGTTGAAACTGTTTTTTTTTTAGTGTTCCGACTTGAAATTGGTTTTTTAAATTCATTCAGGTGAATAAAAAAAATGAAAGAATAGGAATATCTACACTCAAGAAAAGTAATTTTTCCAGTTCCCATAAAATTAATATTGTTTTTGAAAAGGAAAAGATCATAATTTGGAGAAAAGCTCAAAACAAATTTAAGTAATGCTGCAGGGCTAAAACTGCTTTAAATATAAACAATTCGCCTCGGTTTACAATTTTGTTCACAGATGTTAGATAAGTTTGATAAACGCGTTTACAGAAAATCAAAATTCCAAATTGTTTAAACCCCCATAGATCCTTGCAAAACGATAAACAAGTTTTTTAGATAAATAATTCTTAACAAAAACTGACAGAGCTATAAGTTTTCATAATAGCAATTTTATTATTTCCTATAAGACCAAAACAGTGAAACGAATACCGATGGTCAATTTGCACCTTTTTTTAATATTCCTGACCCTTTGAAATATTCAGATTTGATGAGTGACTGACTCTATAACACTCTATAATTACCTTTTCAATTTAATTCATCATTTAAAAAGCGCTGCATATAAACAACAAAGCGTTGTAGTATTGTAAACGCCGTAAACGCTAATTTAAAGGCACTGAATTAATTAATTAGAATTAAAAATAATTTATAATTTATAATAAATAGAATATATAATATTTTAACATTTTACTTTAAATTTTGATCCACTGCCCTAAATCATGTTGTGTACTCTGTCTCATTGAGTCTCTCTTTCTCTCCCCTGCAAGTGACGTCATAGGGAGGACTTAAGTAATCCGAGTCAGTTTATCGATCATGAATGCTCCGCTTTTTCTAAATCACAGGAAAGAGCACTAACTTCTTCTTCTTCCCTTCGTCTTTATAAATAACATCTCTCGCCTATCCCCCTGCCTTTGCTTGGGATGCGACACAAGAGAGGGAAACGAGCAGTGCATAGAGATATTGATTGGAAAATTGATGTTGGCGCGCTGTATGTGTGTGTGTTGCGAATGTATTTACAGTGTCGTTCAATTACGAGCGAGCTCTGCTGCCAGCTCGGCTTATCGTAAAGCGCTTGTGTTTCGCGGAAAAATTGCATCTTGCTCCAGCCTGACGCGGGAGATTACGCCTTTGTAACGAGAAACTTCCGACGATGAAATGAAAATGGGTTGATTATGCCGACATGAGTTTGCTCCACTTGCGGGGAATTCAATTTTTCCGTCAATACAGACGGGCTGAATGTTGTGCAATCAGATGAAAAAGAGCTACACGTGAATGGGAAAAAATTAATGATAGCCTTGGAGGTGCTTACCCTTGGAAGAAAATTTTATTGCATTTTCTTTTTCAAAGCTGAATGTTACCCAATAAAAGTTAGTAATATATTTTTTTTAAATTTATCTATAATTCAGCTTTAACTTCTTTTTCAGATTTTCTTTGAAAAGTTTTTTATTTAAATTTATTTATAAAAATCAATAAATGCTCAAATTTTAATCCAAAAAATAAGCGAAAATAAAAAGATTTCCAGGGATAAAATTTGATCTTGACGCTGTTTGGTTATTTTGAATACGCAAGCTGGGTTGCGTCAAGTCTAAATTTGGATTCTGGAAATCAATTAAGGTGTCAAATTTCCATCAGCTAAGTGCTTTTCATTCGTTAGATTGGGAAACTCGATGCTTCATTATTTGATAAATTATTTTGTAGATTCAAAAATGAGGAAGGCATTCTTGATTACTTCTCTGGCATTAATTATTTTGACGTGAATGTTCTCAAAATTATTATATAATAATCCTCCCAGAAAATCCTCACAGGGCTAATTTCGAAAACAAAATATTAGGTCAAAATTTTGCGGTTCAGCCGCAGCACGCACGGCAGGTTTACGCAGCACAAAGGCCGGTGGAAAATCGGAAAATCGCGCGCTAATTACCCGGCTGGGTGGCTGCAGGCTGGCAGCAGAGTTTCCTGTTTGGCAACAAAAGGCTCTCGGCCGAGCGAGCACCGCCTGGCTGGGCCAAAGTTGTGCGTTGAAAGGCTCAAATTGTTTTCCGGTGGGTCTGCAGGAGGACGAGGAGGCTTTTGAGACGTTCGCCGTGTACTGCGGCCTGGCGCTGCACCACGCCAAGTTGTACGAGAAAATCCAGCGCTCGGAACAAAAGTACCGCGTCGCCCTCGACGTCCTCAGCTACCACAACACCTGCTCTGAGGACGAGGTGCTCATGATGAAGAGCATGACCGAGATCAACCCCGAGGGACCAACGAGAGACTCGTAAGTGTCAAAAACGCTTCTCACAAATTATGTATTTCCCCAATTATTTCCATTAGCAAAAGTGCGGCTTTAATTTCTTCAGAGCTTAAGCAGGATCGCCCCAGGATTTGCTTTGCGCTTGGGGCTCAAAGATCGTGCAGCTTTTCTCAATTCTAGAAAGAGCTTTAATTAACATTACTGAAAGTGCTTAAGAAATCATAGTTTTGTGAATTGCTTACAAACTGAAAGAATTGAAATAATATTTTTTTTCCTTTATGAAAAAAATACTAAACGAAAGTAAGGCACTGTTTGAAATAATTTTACTAAAAAGCAGGGCCTTTTACGTTTTTGATTAAAGCGAGTTCATTCTCCCAAGGATAGAGAGAGAGAGAGAGAGACATTAATTTCAGCCCAAAAAATTTAATTATGTAAGAGGGTCCACTTAAAATGAAGTAATTTATGACCACATGCTCATAAATATTTACTAAAGTTTCCTTAATTTAACATGATATAGGAAGAAAAACTTTTATTCCGTTTAATGTTTAATTTATAATTTTTTTATTGAACTTCAAAAAAGTCTAGAATTTATAGTATGATGATATATATTATGTATTTAAATATATGTTTATAAATATCCGCTTGCTCATATTCCTTTGAAAATAAAACACTTTAAACGCATAGAATATTTTACAAACGAGATGAAATTCAGTCGGCTACACTTGCCATAAAGTGACGGTGTCCCACGTACAATTAATGCTTATACGCTGAACACTCACGTGGAGCGCAAAGTTATGCTGCGCCGCTGTGCTTTGAGGTCATGCCGGATGCCTACCTGCTTACGAGACGTACGAAATAATTTTGTAGTAGCGCCCAGGATGTAGATAACTCAAATTTCTTTGACAACGCAATTATCTCTGCTCAAAGCCCGAGTCTAATTGAATTAGCGCGAGCCTCGAGATACCGCGCAACTTTTAATTAAATTTATCGGTCATTAAAGCCAACGCGGCATGCGAATCTCTAATTACCAGATATGCCGTCTTCACAGAGTTTGCAATGATTTGATTTTCCGTCGAGCGCCAACTAACTTTGATACGTATCAAATTTCACGTGCAGTATTACATTTCTCCCTTTCCAAATAACTTGACAGCTGATTTTGTGCAAATTCCGCCTCACCTTTCCTTCTCTTTGAGTCTGTCAAAAGCACGTGTGTGCGTCCAAAATGAAAGCCCCTGTGAGGGACACGCGCGTTTTTCGCCCGAATTGTTAAATTTCTGTACTTATGGCTGACTGGCGCTTCATTACACCGAGGCAAACCGCAACTCCCCCCTGCTGGCCAGCAATAACCCTTTGTCCGGCAACTCGCTAATCCTCCTCTTGCAACGCCCATCCATCTGATGGCCAGACAACCCATTAGCTGCATCGAGTACGTGTGTACTCGGGAGTATAAACAAATAAATAAACACGCAAAAGCGGCGGCGTCCGTTTGAACTTTTTGTTGCTCGTACGACCGACAATAAGTATACGTGGCATAAGCACCAGTTCCATTTGAATAGTGGGGCGTCATATAAATGTAGCACAATTTTCATTATTTCCATGGCATAAACTGTCTAATTTGTGGTCGTGAGCAAATAAAAATTAACATTTAAAATTTTTATCTTACATTTTTCATATACAAATGGTTAGATTAGTATGTAAATTTTGTGTAGTTTAAGCATTCAGGAGGTTAAAAAAAAATAAATATTGAAAGTTGAGACTGAACAGAGTCATTATAAATGTAAAACAAATAGGACGAAAAAAGAAAAAAAAGAACATATTTCTTAGAATAACAAAAATTGCTTACATTTTTACTTTCATAATTAAAGTCGTTTTGATGTATTCACTTTGAGGTGCTAGTTTTGAAGCAACAGCTGAGCAAAATTACGCATTCCCTTTCATGTCTGTTAATTTCTCAAGTGCTTCAGTCCTAAGTACGCATCTCTCTCTTTCGTTCGGAGCGTAGCTCTCTAGTTATTAAAACGCGACTTTTATTTTATATTCCTGCAGTAGATATAGGCATAAATATATCCATGTTGCTGGCGCACTTAATCGTGCACCTGTGGCACTCGCAGCTTGGTGAGAGAGAGTTAACACTTGATTGCACGCAGCACTAACAAGGCAGTTCTGCCCGTGGACTCGGTGGGATCACCGTCAATTGATGTTGCTAGCTACTACTTCAACATCTACGCGCTGGACGACATGAAGAAGGTGCGCTACGCCGTCTCCATGTTCAGCGAGCTGTTCGGCATGTCCCGCTTCGACCAGGACAACATCATCCGCTTCACGCTGACCGTGCGCAAAAACTACCGCCGCGTGCCCTACCACAACTGGGCGCACGGCTTTTCCGTCGCCAACTCGATGTATTCCATCATCAAGCATTCCAGAGAGATCTTCAAGCCCAATGAGGTGAGCCAATTCAAAATAAGCTGTGTAAAAATTTTGAAAACTGATACGTTTTAATGCCTATTGCCACAGTTGCAAATTTATGGTTTTAAATATAGAAATTTCAAGCAAAAACGAAAAAATACTCATTGATAGCTGCAAAATCAAATATTAATTTTGAAAAATAATCTTGGCCGAGATGTGCTGATTTATAAACAATGAAAATATTGTGCTTTGAAAAATTATAAATATGATGATATTATTTTTATATCCTCAAGTTCATCGAGAGTAAAGTTTTAGCAAGTAGAATTATAAAAAAAGAAAAAATCTAATTTATATATTTTTTTTAATGTAATTAACTTTAACTATTTCAAATTTCAATTCACAAAATTCAAGTCAAGAAAATATATCTTAGATCATTTTTATTATTTTTAACTAAAAATCTGATTGAGAGCTATCTTTAGAACCGTCATTAATTAAATATTTTAAAATTTAAATAAATAATTTACAAAATAGCTTATTCTCTTTCTTCTAAAAAGAACAAAAATCTAGCAATAAGGAAAAGTTAATTTCATGGCACAGTAACTTCGAAGCCGTGTGCAAGTGGCGAATCATTTGCAGGTCCCTGGAGGTGACTGTGTGATTTATTTTTGCAGTGCTTGGCCTTGTACATCGGCTCGCTATGCCATGACCTCGACCACAGGGGTAAAAACAACAAGTTCATGCTGGACACGGAGTCACCACTGGCCAGCATCTACAGCACCAGCACCATGGAACATCACCACTTTAATCAAACAATCACGATTTTGCAACAGGTGGGCGAAAGTTTCCGTCTCATGTATTCCAAAAGTCCCAAGGGAAAAGTTCAATTTCGTCCCGCGAGGACGAGAGTCAATTATGAGCTGATATTGCCTTTCTGTGCCGCGATATTACCTTTTTGAGAGAGAGCAAATATTTGCAGGAGGGCCACAACATATTCAGCAAGCTCAGCAGCGAGGAGTACAAGCAGGTGCTGTCCAACATCAAGCACTGCATTCTGGCGACGGACCTGGCCCTCTTTTTCCCCAACAAGGCCCGCCTCACGAAAATCGTCGAGGACGGACTATTTTCATGGACCAACCCGGAGCACAGGTCATTAAATTTGTGTAATTGAGATGAGAGTTGGAGAAATAAAGAAAGAAAGATGCGACATTTCCTCTCTCGCTCGTTTTGCCGGAAGCGAGGATAATATTGCTCCAAATATTTTGCCAAGGAAAGCGAAAGTCTCATTTTGCAAATTAATTTTTAGTGAGAGCGACCTTTCCTCCCTCATGCAAGAGGAATTTTAATTAAATTGCCCCTGAGGAAATTCAAAATTTAATCTTCACAAACAATGCAAAAGAAGAAGCAAAGTGTCATTTTGTTTATCTTAGAGATTTTGAAGAGCCTTATGAAAATGTTCAGCTCCTTTTTCTTATATATAAGATTATGTTAATTTTCTTAAAACGGGCGTTTTTGTAGCTAGACTAATTATTACACAGTTAAAATTTTACTTCATAATTGAATTTCAGAACAAAAGAAATTATTTCTCTAAAAAAATCACCAAAAAAATTAACATTTTTAATATTAATTAAAATAATTAAATATTTTCTATTTCATTTTTATACAAAAATTTTTAAATCTCGCTCGGACAATCTTGCATGTATTTAAAAATCTTGTTTCAATAAGAGGAAATCATGTCTGGCGCATTTCCAGGCGGTGCACCTCTGCGTTTCAAGTTTGATTGTTTTGCTGAGAGCGATTGTGTTTGTTTAGGTTGTTGCTTGAGGCGATCACGATGACGGCGAGCGACCTCTCCGCCAGCGCCAAACCCTGGGAGCTGCAAGTGAAAACCGTCAAAGTGATTTTCGAGGAGTTCTACGAACAGGTAAACCACTTTTTGCACTCTCACACTTGAACGCATACAGCAAGCAAGAAAGTTTGAACACCTTAAACGGACGTGATTCATATGGAAATTGAGTGCGGGCGGGCAAAGTGGCTTTTCCTAAGCGGAAGGGAAACTTTGCCCAGCCATTTTTTGCACCAGCCGCTTTTTCCACTCGTCCGGGCAAAGCAGTTTAACGAGACGAGCTGCATTAAATTTGTGCAAAGGGCTGAGACAGTTTCTTTGAAGTGCTTTCCTCAAAGGTTGTTCCAAATCGTTCTTTGATCTCAGATATCCAAATTGATAATATTTAACCCAGTCTCTTGCAGATTCCCACTAATTAACTTTGTTATTGAAATAATTTTTTTACTAAATGCACGTTTGAAATGAAATCAGGGCGACGCTGAAAAAGCCGCGGGCCGCATACCCATTCCCATGATGGACAGGGACCAACCGGACCAACAGGCCGCCTCACAGGTTTGCACCATCGATGTTCTCCAGCATGAAGAAGCAGATATAATCTCTCGTTTTTCAATGTCTATCTTTTTCTGTCTCTCTTTAATTTCCTTTGTAAAAACAATCTTCAGTGTTTGCTGCAAAAATCACGATTGCGCGCAGAGCTGCATTTTGCCCTTTCACTTGTAATTAATTTATAAATATATTTATTGCTGAAAAGAAGGGTCTCATCTGACGAGAGAGTAGGTGTGCGGCTGGAAAATTCCAAAAATTACCCCCCAGAGACCCTTCTCGGCAGCTGCTGCGTCTAACAAAAGCGACCTAGCTGCTGCTCGATTAACCCACCCCTTTCACCCTTTCTTCACCTGGGCGTGCTCAATTGTTCCAGGGTGACCAAGAAAAAATGGCTGGCCGCGTGCCAATTCCCTTGATGGATCGTGACAAAGAATCTGAGTTGGCCGAGATGCAGGTGAAAATGCACTTTCACCACTTTTGTGCTGAGGGCTATTTCCCCCCGACCATGGTTTTTGAGATGCTTTCCGTGCTAAAAGCGTCCGTTTTTCTGTGGGAAACCCAAGGGTGGTAACTAATATAGGAAGAAGGGAATATAATCAACCAGGCACGCCACGTCAAACTAAACGCTCTTGCCACTGCCAGCTTCCTCTAGACGTTACTTCTCACACGCTTCAGTTTTTGCACCTCTTTTTCCCACTTTCTGCAGTGCATGAAAGTTTACTCGGATTTTCACAAAACTACTTTACAATTAATCTCACTGTAGAAATGCATTTCTTACCCAATTTAAATTTTTTTTGTTTCATATAGAGTAGAGTAGCTTATGTTACTTATTTATTCGTACTGGATAAATATATTTTATTATTTCCAGACGTGAATTTTTTTGTTTATTAATTTAACTTTATCCATCAATTCATTATGAAAAATAATATCATTATATTTTTCCTGTGTTTGATTCAGATTTTAAATATATTATTCAACTTCTATATTGACGTATTTTACCTTTTTAAAGCATTTTTACTTTAATTAATCACGGAAATAGATTAAATATTAAGAAAATATGTATATAATGAATCTAATAAATCATAAATTTACAACTGATCATTTTGATCTTTATTAAATTTAATATAAATTTAATTGTATGGAATTTTAGAAAAGTGTTTTGCTTAAAATTTTTTCAACTCGTATTAAATCCTAAATTTGTAGAAAAAAGATAATTTACAATTAATTTTTCACCAGTACAATCATAAAAAATTAAAACAGTTCGCAGTGTTTAGTTCATTTTCCTTTGCATTTTGAAAAGCAAATTTATCTTTTTTATATTTATTTCCAGTTCACTTGAAGTTAAACGTTCAATTTTTTTACAACATTAACTATTACATAACTTTATAAAATTTTTAAGTTCAAATTGTCTTTTAAAGAATTGGGCTAAAAATTGATAATTAAGACTTTCTAGTCCGTTTTAAATTCCATCTCCTAAAATTATTACTTACAATTCAAAGCTGTGAGTTCAAGGAAACATAGTATAATTACTCTCACCTCATTTTCAGGTTGGCTTCATAAATGGAATTTGCATTCCGTGCTACTCGCTGCTCTACAAACTGCTGCCCGAGACCAAGCCCTTATTGGATCAGTGCAAGGCCAACCTGGCCCGATGGGAGCGACTTAACGAGGAGCAAAAGAAGCTGAGAGAAAGCAAAGCAGCGGCGTCCTGAACGCTACCCATTTCCTATTTGAAAATATGCTGTATTTTCCCAAGAGAGGTGCTCGCTAGTCCTCTATTTTTTGCTGGAGTAATCAAATTAAAAAAATATATATTATCATGTTGTGTACTTTTCTCACCGAGACGATGGATTCAAACTACGCTTAATGTTAAACGTGATTGTGATTCTGATAATACTATGGAAAAAAACCACTGTGAGAATCAATGTTGTCTAACTTCGGAGGGTTCTATCAAATAATGAAAATAAATGAAAATTATAATGGTGCATTTAAACGTAAGACGAGATTGGTTAAATAAAAATGAACAATCATGATTTTGGTTCGACAGACACGCTCTTCACTAAATAGAATTTTTGTGACAACCAAATAAATGTTCTGTAACATATTTTACAACTGCTTTTCTGTACTGGTCTGTTCCAACAACCTAAAAAGTAAAAGAAGTTTGAAGGAAATGTAAAATATTTCTGCTCGGCCAACAACATGTTGAATGAAATTTATTTATTTATATTTTTGCTCATAAAACTTCATTAGAGGAAAATTTTAAAAAACCCATAGCACCTCAGCTCGACTAGTCACAATCTGGAAAATTCTGCCCTCTCTTTCCCAGTCTGGCAACTTTCCCGCTTTCCTCCCTTCCGCATCTGAACTATCCAAAGGCGCCACTCTCTGAAAGGGCGGCAAAGCGGCGCACTCCAGTCGTGCTTAGGCAACCTGTTACACACGAGGGACGCAATCGCAGGGGCACAACAATGGCTTCGCTGCTCAGTCAGCTCACGCAGGCGGCACCAAATGAAGCCTAGTGAGCTGCCGGCTGCAGATTAACCCTTTCCATCAACTTTATGTGTATTAAGCCGGCGCGTCGAGCTACAGCGGGGGTGGTTGGAGTGCACGGACTCTCTCGACATTACCCCGAAGCGAATTTATATTTTATTTATGCTAAAAGCTTTCGAGTATGTGCCCAGCTGCGCACCAACAACGCCAAAATCAAGTTCGCTCGTTTTCATTCGCTTAATTCGGGCTAATCAAGTAATTATGGACCACCCTCACGCGTGCGATTAAGAAATCATGATGTGTACAGATCAATCCCGGCTAATTAGTAGTTATCTCTCACCACGAGAAATTTGACTGAAATGCAAATCATAAAACTATTTTTATCGCAAAAATGATTAAACTGCCGCATTTATCTTTTTACGGAGACATAGAGTGTGGATCGTTTATGGATTTATTGAATTATTTCAAGGCATAAAACACTTTAAATAAAATAATCAAAGACATTTTTATTACTTTTTTATAGCTATTTGTATTAGCAGACATTGGAGGGAGAAATGCCTTATGTCGTCGGATCATGAACTAAAAACACATTTATTTTTTATCAGTATTAATATGGTCCTTTTAAACAATGCTGGTTTGTTTTTCACAATTATTGTGGGATAAATGTGGGATCACGCTCGATGTACAGGTGGTGCTGAAAAGATGACATTGACGACATTGTATAATATTTTGCATGTAGAGTTGAATTTAAAGTCAGCCTTTCCTCTATTGTTTGTTATATGTAAATCTTTGAAACTATATTGTTTTTCTGAAACAATAAACAACTCCGAAAACCCATCGAGGAACAGCCGACTCTAAACTCAACTCACTATGAATCAACCCTCGATCGTGAAATTCTATAGTACATATTTTTTTTTTCATATTTTTTTTTTTAACTTTGTTCTGGTTCTAATAATGTTTCAGCCCATTTTGTGAAGGCGCATCTCCCCTCAATGGTGATGTTGGTGGATTAAAATGGATCGGCATAAAATTTGATTGCCCCTATAAAAATGGTGTATGGCACTATAAATGTTGCAAAATGCCTAAATTATATTGCATGGCACCTAGTATTTAAGCTCAGAAGTTATATACCCACTTCAGTTCTAAACTTGTTTGGCAACGTGCGAAACGTCTTTTTCTTGGTAAAAATGAAATCAACTTATTTTATTTTATTGGTAAGAAGATTTAATTTAATACTTTTTTGTTGCAATATATTGCTCAAAAGGTAATACACCGTTCTGAAAATATTTTCATGGATATTTTCATATTTCATCCATCCAATCGAATCTGACACTTTATATTATCAGTCATATCATAGTAATATGAATATTCCTATAAAATTTAGATTTTGGCTCTTGCTGCGAATTCCTATGCTGTAAATTTTTACTGCCCACCGTCTGAAACTATGTGCTCTGCAAATCGAAGAGCTTATTCAGTGTGCCCTGTTTCGGGATACATATCTAGTATTAGTATCAGTGCAGAACTCACATGTGCAGCCGACTCGTACTGCTTCGAGGGTTTCAAGGGACCCAGAGGGCCTTGCATCCCGATTCTATGCATGGCACCGACAAATGGTCCAGTTTCAATTCCACAAGGTAACGGGGAAAATTATTTAAATTAGTTTTAAATGTTCATCATAATTATTTAAACAATTTTTAGTTCCAAAGTTTTACTATACATGCCAAAATAATACTGCACTCACGTTGACCATCTCTAAATGTCCCGATGGAAACCTGTTCAACTCCAACAAGCAAATTTGCGAGGCACCGGCGTCATTGACTGGTTGCAGCGATGCAGCTACAACTGTCGTCCCTTCTACGGTCACTACTACTAGCAGGCCTATAACGACCACCGCGAACATTCCTCTCAATACAAACCATCCTACTGCACCAGTCACCACTTCTACTACCACTACCGCACCAGAGAAACCACGAAAACCTGGTTTTGAGGATCTTGTTATTAGTGATGAGGATCGTGTATTTTCTTCCAAATTCTCAAATAAGTTCTTTAAATTTATTTTCCTGTAATTAACATTTTAATCATTGTTCACACGCCAAATATAGTATTATATGGACTGAAAAGAAATAAACATGAAATTAATAGAATTATAAAAAAAAACTCAATTATTAGCACTATTTAAAAAAGGCGATATCGTCCATGCATCGCAAACGTTGGGGAAAAGGAATAAAAAAATTATTATGTTGAAAGCAATCTTTTGTGTGAAGTCTCAAAAATTTTGTGATACGAGGACGACATCAGATATATAAATAATTAAAAAAATTTGCGTTAAATATGAAAGCTAACATGTGGAAAGAAATAAAGAAAAACAAAATACCAATCCAAAATGTCACAAAGTGAGGAGTTGGAAACACCTCTCGCAAACAATTCGCTATGAAACGAGGGCTTCAAGAGAAGTCTGCGCCAAGATATGGGGTCTTAAATGAATATAATATAAATGAAGATAAAGTAATTAGAAAATACGCCACCAAAAAAAAATAATGTAACGGAGCTTTTGCCATATGCGATCTTAAAATAAAGAGTACTTGACCCAAAAAGATATATTTGTTATACTTTCTTCATTACTGTTTTTATCTCAAAAGTAATAAAATAGCGTATGTATGCCCTAAATTAGAAGTCACAGTCTGCTTGAAAAAATATATAGGTGGTATCATTAACCTTGTATTAGACGTCCTTTCATACCTGATTATATGAATATTTCAAAACATGTCCTGCTCATATTGCCTTACAACAATGCGTGGCATAAATAAAAATTGTACGAAACTGCAATGCACAATCTTCTATTTATACTTCGTTTAGTGCCCTAAGTTGCCTTTAAGTATTTAGGAGCGCAATTAGCACACACTAAAAACAGTTTTTTTTTATTCGCTGATACTACTGTAGTAAAAAATGACATCTACTTGGCTCCTTCTGCTGGTAAATATAATCATTATTCAGATCTCTAATTTCAATAACGTAAAACAATTATTTTGCATTATTTTTACATTGATTTATTATACAAAATTTTCAAATTTGATCTTAGAAAATTTCAAAATATTAATTGTTAGAGTTGGCAAGAGTATTCAAATTATTAAATTATACTTTTCTTGCCAAAAATTATTGCAAAATTTTACTAAACTTTAAAATTTGACAGTAAAAATATTTCATGTTTTGGCTCACGCAGCGACTACATACGCACAATTTCATTGCTCTCTGTCTGAAACTTTATGCTCACTCAGTGAATCGAAGTGCCTATTTGAGATGCCCTGAAAGAGGCAGGGTCTACGTGTCCATTAAACTCATCCTGTTTTGAGAATTACAAAAGCCCTGTTGGTCCCTGCATCCAGATCCGCTGAGTGGCCCCAACAACAAGTAGTGGTCCTTTTGGATCCCAGAAGAAGGCAACATGAAAATTTCAGTTTAATTTTCAACACTTTTTATCCCACCTTGTGGATTTTACTACACTTGTAAAACTTAATTTGACCATATCAAAGTGTCCAATTGTAATGCACGGAAACGAAAGTCTGCAAACGACTTTTCTGGTTGCTGGATAAAACCTAGTAGCACCACTTACAATTAGTCGTCCTCGCTCCTTTCCAACCAACGATGATGATCGTTTTTTATAAGAGGATCGAAGTTTTTTCCCAAATTTTAAAGCGTTATATTATATGTTTTGAAGAAAAATCAGTACCATGATAAAATTTAAAGAAATATTTTCAAACATAGTTTTAGTTAATAAATTTTGCATTATATTAAAAATAAATTTTAATTTTAGTTTTTATCATATAATTTATATTATAATTTTTATTTGTTTTTTCAAATTTTTTATTTATTTTAAATAAGTTTACTTTAAATTCAACAGCAAACAACTTTTTCAAGTTATTGAAGTTCATATAAAATTTTTTTATAAAATTATTTATGATATAAATTTTCAAGCTCATTCACAATCTTTGGTTCAGGCTACAGGCTGATTTTGTCAATGTCAACGTTCGTAGCGATGTTTATTTGTCCACATTGTTAAATTAAATTTTTATTACATTCAATTTTTGTAAATGAAGTGATGATTTTAAAATTGATATGTGAATAAACTATTATTTGATTATCGCTTTATCTCTGACGATTACAACCTTTATCAAATCACAATAAAAAATATTTAAAAAACAAAATTTGACTATAATCTGCAAAGAAAACAAAATATGTTGATTTGAGTCAAACCGTGGCGATTAAATAATAACAGTAAGTGCACGTTTTGTCGCCGGCGGAAATGTAAATATTATGAACTCTGCCGAATTTCGTTTTTTCCTTTACTTTCAACAGCGCGTCACATGCAACTTTTTATTCCTCTCGCCCGGCAGGCAATTTCAACTTTGATAGCGTCATTAAGATGATGGGCCTATTTTTTGCTTTCCTGTGGAAGATTATGTTTCTACCCGCCCAGCCATAAATCTCGAAACTTTAACTGCTTCCTCAGAGGTGTGCACGGAATTTCAGCCACTTGGATCAATAAAAATGCGTAAAAATGTTTTAATTTCAAGATTATCCAACGTACTTGATAATTAGTTAATTAAAACAAACATGAAGTGCGTCATAATTCTTTCTCGTTATCCTCTTGGAAAGAGTTAGTAAACAAATTATTGCGAGTTGGTATAAATACAGGCCTTTTGCATTCCCAACTCTCGTGGCAATTAGCAATTACGATTCAGCAGAGTCGTCATGAAAGTGGCACATCCATCACTCGCTCTAGGTACGACTTCTTTGTAATTACTCTCCCCGAGCTAGGTGTCGAGAGATAATAACTGACGTTTTTGCTCCACTTCCGACTGCCACGTGCGCAATTGTTAATAACCGACTTTCTTATCCACTTTTGCAGGGCTGCTCTTCTTCGCCGCCGCAACTCAAGGTACTTTTGTATTTCTCAACCCACGTATATATGAATGCGTTTTATTATTACCTTGCCTGGGAAAATGAGCGGACAGCAGGGGGGTTTCATTAAACTCGGCGTGATTGAGGCGCGGGATTAGTTGCGAGAAAAGCGCAGGTAGTTTTGCATCGATTTTTACTCTTGCAACTCTCAGGCTGCTGCAACGTCAACGTTTTACACAGGAAAAAATTTTTTAAGAATATTTCAATTCCCAGATTTTTATTTACGCAAATTTTAATTCTTAAAATAACTTTTTTGTGTTTCATAAATGGCCTAAAATATATAATTATTTGGTATCCGTATTTATCAAATTTCAAATTAATGTGCTTTTTTTAAGTTTATGGAAATTAAATTATGCTAAATGATGATTAATTCTTTTATTTTAATTTCTGAGCATTTTGCTAAATTTTGTGCACCCATAAATCATGATGTCACTTCAAAACAATCTCTTTTTTGTAGCTAAAAAATATTCCCCAATTAATTTTAACGTGTACATATTTCTTCTCCAGCACTAGTTCTTCTGCAAGACGTTTGCCCCGATGTGGACTACAAACTCGCAAGCGAAATCATTATGCTGTGGGACGCAAAGAACTGCTCAAAGTTTTACAAGTGCTCCTACGGCGGAAACATGAACAAATTGCGTCCTTACGAGTTCAGCTGCCCGAAAGGATTGACCTTTGACCCGAAAGAGGGAGTGTGTGGCTGGAGGGTAGACTTCAACCCCAAACCTTGCCACCCACTCTATTATCAGCTCAGCAGGAACGTCGTTTACTGAATTCTTAGAGATGAATAAAATTCAATTTAAATAAATAATGGTACAAAAATTTGATAGCAGGAATATATTTTACTAAAACTATAAATTCCCGCTTTACCTGAGTAGTTTTTGCATACAATTAAGAAATATGAGGAGTAAATAATGGAGATTGAATAAAGTAAATATACGGAGAGCTACCTTGAAGAAGCCACAGCAGTAGTTAGTCCCGTCGCAGCACTTTTAGTGCAGACACAGAACTAACTATTGCCTGCGACGGCACTAAGAATTTTCTGTGTATATACACCTTCTATGTGAAAGTAATAATGGCGAGTGCTTATAAAACACATTTAAAAACAAAACCGAGAAGAATAAATAATAATAATTATTAATATATATATTTTTAAAAATATCCCTGTCCTCTACATTGTGTCGTGTTATAACTTGCGATCTGGGACTATGCCACATAAGATATTGAAAAATATAACTGTAGCAACGTGAAATTGAAACTGATCGCTTTTTTAATATCAGTGATTTTTTTTTTTGCAAAATTGTAAAGGGCCATTTTTTGTTTATATTTCAAACAGATTTTTTCGTGAGCGATATAAAAGGGTCCGTGGAATGCGTCACTAATGCGATTGGATCAATAGAAAAAGAGGTGCACATCCCATTGACAGATATGTACGTACAACACAATAATAATATGCAATATTATCGCTCTCATTGGAAATCCATTGAGGGCGAGAGAGGCGTGCGCAAATCGCAGATTCGCGCTCACGTCACCAAGATGTCATTGGATCCGACGATCTGATCGGATTTCTCGTTCTGTTGTACGCAAAGATGCTCAAAATAGGAAATTGTCGTCCGTGTCTGCGTCAAAGCGGATTGAGCCATTTGAAACCATGCTTTAATAATTATTGTTGTGCGGCAGAACTTAAGCTCAAAATCTCTTCTTGGAAAAGCAGCGAGCTTGATTTGCGTCAATCTGTGAACACATCAATCTGATAATGAAAAATCGAAAAGCATGCAAGCAAATAAAAATAAAAATTAATTAGATTATGTAATATTTTATATAAACCTGAACTTGTGATAAAAATTTCTTATTTTAAATCAAATTGCAGATTATAGTTGAAATAAAGTATTAAAATTTTCAAATTTTGATTTGAATAAAAATACAAAGAAATGCAAAGTTTCTGAAAATTATTTTTTTTTTAAACTAACAAAAAAGTTAATCAGTGCGGAACATTTATCAATATTTTTATCGCGTAAAAAAAGTTGTGACAACTGAAGGGGACAATTGATAGTGCGCTTGATAAGAACAAGACGTCTGCAATCCGGAACTGCAAGAAGAGGAACTATGGACCCATTGAGGCGAAATCGATGGATTTCACGCGTAGTTGAGAGCATTAAATCAATTAACACTTGGTCGGCGGCCCCTTGAGCCGACGACGAAATCATTCCTTGCGTGCTTGCCTCATTAAAGGGCTCCTTGGAAGAGTCTCTTTGGCCTAACCGTTCGATCAAAGGTAGATAAATAGCTGAGGGATTCTTGTCGCTCTACAGTCGCAACCAAAAGATAAAGCAAATATGAAGACTTTCTGCATGCTGATTGCTCTGGGTTTGTGTCTTAGAATTTTCATATTTAATTAATATACAAACTAACGAAAATTATCATGTTCTACAGCGGCCTTGATTGCCACCACCTACTCCCAAACAACAACCCCAGCACGTGAGTATTATTTAGTTTTTCAAAAACGTCCGTATTAATTTTTATTATGTAATTTTTATACATGTGTCCCTGATACTCAATTAAATTTGTATAATTTAAAACAATAATTTTCAGCCACTCCTGCTGACTGGTTTACTGTAAGTTTAATCAAAATGGAATGATTTTTTTTTTTTATTAAAATTAAAATTCAGTGTCCCGCGCGCGATGGCTACTTTGCTCATCCGTACGATTGCGTCAAGTACTTCGTCTGTGTGCAGAACAACGCCTGGCTTTTGAGATGTCCACCCTCTCCTGAAGGTGAGCTGTGGTTCGATGCTGAGAAGAAGTACTGCAACTACCCACAACTGGTTGCCTGCACTGCTAATCCCACCGGAAAATCTTTCTAAATGCAAAATTTATTTAAAACATTGAAATTAAATGATTACCACTGTGATTTATCAATAAAATAGGATACTTGTTTAATAAATTTGCTCCTTTCCTTTAATAACTATTATTAAAGAGAACTAATGAAATTGTTGAAATATAGAAAAATGGCACTGTGTACATTTATCATGTAATAAACCATAATAATTACATATTTTTATTTCAAATTTAATGCAATTATTATGAGCCATAGGGGGAGGCGATATGTTCTTTTCCAAGTTAAATTTTTAACAATAATGTTAAAAATTTATATTTAAGATACATTTAAATTAAAATAAAATTATAAAATATGTGATGAAACAAAATATGAGCAATTTATCAACACTAAATTTTAATCATATACGTTTGATACTGGCGAGTTCTTTGAGTATTTATTCTGTTTAGACGACAATTTTGGGTTTTCGAATATAGAGATCGCGGCTTATTATTGTTTATATAGGCTCCATAGGAGCACAAGGAGCGGAGCTCCAAAATCATTTAAACATAAGGACATTCAGCCATATAAATTAATTGATAATTTGAAAAGACAATTTTTATAAAAAAAAATCATAGGCTCTTGAGTGAATTTTTGTAATCGTTGCTGATAAAGACTTTTGGTCACTGTAATAGGATCGGACCGAGATAAAAGCCGGGGTACTTCCCAATTCTTGTCAGTTCCACCTCGTTCAAAAGAGCAAAGATGAAGACTATCTTCTTGCTGGTCGCCCTTGGTAATAATAAAAAAATAACTTCCCTTTCTACTCATAGTCAAATTCCATAACTACAGCGGCTCTGGTCGCCACCGTCTACTCTCAAACAACCACCCCAGCTCGTAAGTAGTAAAAAATTTTATTGCTTTAATTAATTTTTTTTACGGAACTGATAAATATTTTCAGCCACTCCAGCTGATTGGTTTCAAGTAAGTTAGACCGCAGATTAACAAAATATCAATCAATTGAAAAATTTCCCTTCGAAAAAGTGCCCCACGCCTTCTGGCTATTTCGCACATCCCTATGACTGCGCCAAGTACTTCGTCTGTGTGCAGAACAACGCCTGGCTCTTGAGATGCCCCCCGGGTCCTGAAGGACAACTGTGGTTTGATGCAGTCAAGAAAGAGTGCAATTTTCCCGACCTGGTCACCTGCACCGCTACTCCTACCGGAAAATCTTTTTAGGTTTTGTAAATCTATAAACTCGGGCAACAAAATTTGAGCAGAGGCAATAAATGAGATTTTCAAAAGAAACACTTTTGTGTTATCTGATATCCCAAATGGCCAGCCCCAGACAAATAATTGAGATAAGTTTATACCGAAGGTTAGATTATTGATTGTGGGTGACACAAATCGTCAGCAAGTCCAGTTGCAAAACACTTCAACTTATATCAAAGTCAATCAGGCTTCTAATTGGGTGACAAACCTCTTGATATTTTTTTTAGCATGACGCAAAAAGGTTGACGTGAAAACAACCAAAATTTTCAAAGCATATGGAGGTAAAAAAATATGTAAAAAGATTAAATTGTTGCGATTTTAAGTGAGTAGACAACCGTATATAGCGCGTTTTATTATATTTTTATATGCATATATTTTCCGAGCATAAAATGGGTCGCCAAGTCAGCAAATAAAATGGACCGTTGCTGATCCTGGAGCTGCTGAGCAGATCAGTTGCTTCTTTCAACTTTACGGACATACTTTGCCAACATGCCTTTATTTTATAGATTTCTTTTGCGGTTGGTTATTTTCTTGAATGTGAGACGTGAGGTTCGGTATTGATTCGCGTACCGCAGTTGCAAAATCAAATGCAAATATCTACCTCAAGCATGACGGCAAACACAAATTTAATGGACGTACAAATGCACGGTGAGAGATTCGCGCACATGGAAATCTAATTTGGAATCCACGTGATGTCGCTGTGAGATTGAACATTAGCGTAAATTTGATTATAGTGCAATGCTATGCTTGAACAGGGTTAACTGCGGATATTTAGAGAGAGAAGAACACGTCACAACGATGAAAGAGATATATGAAGTTTAATTTTAAATTTGCCCCAGAGAAATGTTACTACTTATATAACAAAAATAGTAATAATGAAAGTATCTAGCATTGATCGAGAGAAATTTAATATTATAGCATCTGATTTGATATTTCTTGATAAGGGGAAAATAAATAATATCAACATGGAACAGCATGGAAAAAAAATTCACACAGTATTTGATAAGACAAGATTGAATTAAACACATGATAGGGTTTATATTATTTAAATTGCAGATTAAATTACAAATAAATTAAAATTTTAAGGCTAAGTTATAAAATAATAACAAAAGGCATTAAATATTAAATTCAATAAAATAATTATAAATTTTAATTTTAATATTAAAATTCTTAATTCAATTGCTAAATTATTTAAATTTTATATAAATATAAAATTTATTTTTGAATTTAAAATTTTAAAAGTATACTAAAAATTCTGCTTATTGCGGAACAACAATATATTCTTAATTTTGAATAAATAAATGATGTATCCCGTTATGAGGCCTTTGTGGTAGATCAATAAACACAATTTGCAACTAAATTCTAAAACAATTCCTGGAATCAGCGTAGCGAACACATAGTATGTATATGAACGACGTATCAAATTTGCAGCAATATTCCTGCATCAACGAAAAAGAGGCAGAAACGCGATCCAGGCGGAACATGAAATAAAATTTATTCGTCTCTACAAAACGGAATTTGGAGAAATGATGGACCCTAATGAGACTAGGGGGGAGGGGGCGCTCCAAACGCACACACAGGTCCGCCGAGAAAGAGAGTCTGCAGCACCGAGAGAGCTGGCAGAACCCAGGCCACGAGTAATTTATCGATCGCAGCTCAAAATACGCGGCGCTCCTCCTCGGCCCAGCCGCTTGCCTCGAAGGCGCGACGAATCGCGGCCGCAGGTTCTTCCGAGGAACACGCGCTGCCCAAACTGCAACCTCCTGACTCTCTCGTTAAATACACCAAAGTTTGTTTTTGCCTCTGGCAACATAATCAAAATCGTCTTTCCTCGATTTCCTCCCATCTAAACTGGAGACTTTTATTCTGGACTCGGCTTTTACCGCAGAGGCAAAATAATATTTGTGTTTGGAAATACCAACATGTGGAGCTGTTTAATTCAGCTTTTGTTACAATTTCCCAACAATTTTGTCTGTTTTCCGTTTTGTTTTTCCTGTTCACAATTTCAGGCTGCGAAATTAATGAGTTTGGCGAACTTCAACTTATATTTAATAAAAAAGTTAAAACACACAGAATAATCTACTTTCACTAGGTTGATCAATATTCAAAACTTTTTTTAGTCAATTATTTAATAAAATAAATAAGTCCAAAGAAATAAAATAAACAATTTCAGTTTTTAAATTTTTTTTTTCAGAAACTCGTAATATAATATGAAAGGAGAACTTGCTACTAAATGGATAAAAAAAGAGGTTAAATTTCCACATGCAACCCGCTCTACCAACCTCATACTCTCTTGACTGCAATTGAAACTTAAATTTATTTTATGCCAAAGGGAAAATTCAGTCTCTTATCTGCTTTCGGCTGAAATCCGCGTCCAAAATAAACGTGTTTAATTGACTTTTCCGTGAACTTAATCCTACTTGTTGATTCTTGTGCGGCAAAAGCCGGCGGAAGAGCCGCGAGTGCGTAGGGCGAGCTGAATGAATCCAGATTTAGCAGCCGCCCACGCCGAGCAACAGGCTGCGCTACTCGCCCTGCACCTCCCGCGCCAAACCAACTCTTCGCAAACAGTTCTTCGCACCCGGTGTCACCAGCATCACCCCTTATTTCCAGCCCGAATAACAATAAAATAGAGAATTATGCAACACTGGTCTCGGCCAAAATACAATATAAAATAAATTGATGCGCTGTTTACGCAGAATTCGCGCAAAGGCGATTTGTTTTTGTGTACATTTCCAGGAAGCTGCATGATTTTGCACAATTTTCCTTGTTGGATGAAACACAAGTATTCGTTTCCGTCACAGAATACTTTAATTTTGACTGATTTTGAGGAAAAGGAGAGGCAGAATTTCTTCCTCGTGGAACTCCATCACCCTAAATTCTAATAATTGGGTTTTTGTCCATCTGACTTTTTCCACCTTACTTAAAAGAGCATGCGAACGACAGGAAAATGAATTTTTCTTGCACGAATCAAGTAAGTTTATGACAATTTAAAGTCAAAGAAACACCACGTTTGCTTTTCAACTTCAAAACAGACAAACTTTGTTTAAAATAAATAAATTTTATTGATTAATTTGCTATTAAAAATAATACATTAAATTCCGTGAAATTTGCAATAACATACAAAAAAAGAAGCTAAAATCTTAAAAATTTAAACGATTGAATAATAGAGTAGAGAAATAATGCAAATAAAAAAATTGCCACTTTTCTTGTCAACTATTCGTTCAGTAGGTCAGAAAACCTCATGGTAGTCTCCTTATTTTCAAATGCATTGAGGATTTTGCAGTACAACTCAAATTGATCACTTTAGAGCGGTAGATGTTAAGGGTGTATTTCGAGCTGAGGCTAATCAGGCAAATGAAGGGTTCCTTTCGACTGCGCCCAAGGGCAGTGCGCTTTGCATATAGAGGCGGTCGTCGGAATTCAGTTTGCATTAGCAGTCGGCAGGCTCATCGAATTTCGCGGGTCACTGGGCGCGACGGCGACGAGAGACGGAGTGAGTGGTGCGTTACATACACGACTTCTTGGTGCAGAGATGGTGATGGATGATGGGATGGAAATCAAGGTATTTTAGTTTGGTAGCTAAAAAAAAGTTATGTGTGAAGTTTTGCTAAAAAAAAGAAAAAAAATATACAGGAAGCTTTTTATATTTTATACAAAAAGTTTCAATTTACAATCTATGAAATTTGATTTTTTGAAATCTTTGCTATAAAAAAAACTTAATATTTGAGCCCAATTATTATTTTTTTTATATTAAATAAAAATCTGAATAGTTAAACACCAAAAAGATTTGAATAGACATCGAATTTTACTTTTCTTATATCTTCCCTGAAAAATTAAAAGCTTTGATTCTGCGGCGACAAATCGACTCTCACTCGGTACATAATGGGTTTCTCACTTCTGCCGCTCCTCCTTCTGCTGCTCCTGTCAATATTTGGACGAAATCGAATTAATGCCTGGCGTTTCTTCAGATTCGATTACGCGGTGGTCGGGACGCGCACGACTTGGAGTAAGTTTTTCTCCGTCTTATTTTCACTTGACGGAGTTTCAACGCCAAAAGATTCGTCGCTTCCAATGTATTTATTACACACTAGACGCCCGAGGTGGTTTTCATCTTTTGAGACACGAAGCTCCACCAACGTACTGAAAAATTATGAAAAGGAGGAGTCGTGATTCTAAAAGCGAGGAAATAGGAAAAATCCTCCTTTATGTGGATGCCCTTGTAAGAATATTACAATTTCTTGATATCAATCCTAACGAAAATTTCAGATGCTATTTTTGAGAAACGTGAAAGCTTTTCAAGTTTTTCAAGGAAAAGAAATCATTAAAGAGGATTTCAACCTACTCAGAAGAATGTAAAATCCTCCCCACGCTCTACTAGCACTAGCACGCATATCATTAGATTCTCAGTCAACAAAGTGATTTAACAATTTGGACAGATAAACAACAATAATAATAATAGCAATACCATCCCATCGCGAAATTTGAGTGGCACATTTTACTGTTAGCAATCAAAAATTTCCTTTTTAATTGGTGTTGATAGAAACAGAAATAACGGTTAAAAAATTTACGCTGTATTTTGAGGGCTACCCTGAGTTTATTGATTTCTGCGATTGAAAGATATTTCGTGATAAATACTATAAATTTTATTTCTTGAATACATATTTTTTCTACATCTAACTAGGAGTTAAAATTTGTAGGTGATGTAAATTACAAAAAAAGTCTGCTGTTACTTAAAATTATTAAATGAAAAATTGGGATTGCACTATATTTAAATTTTACTTTAGATATTTGAAATATATTGAAAATTAGTATGTATGTTTGAGCAAAAAAAAATATTGTGGATGTCTAAAAATTATATTAATATTTTAGTATGTTATTTATTTTTTATTAAACTGAAACAGCATTTTTAAAATAAACTTCCGTGACAAGCACTTAAATGTGTTTTAAAATTCTTAAACTAATTTTCCGTGAGATCAGAACAAGGAAAATTAAGCGGCTTGCGAGACAATGAGCGCGTTCTTGGGTGAGATTGGCGGTCAGTCTCGTGTCTGGCCGTCACTTTTTCCACTTAGACGCGCATGATGACTTTAACCAAATTCGGCCTCGCCCCCGATTTATTGATTCGGCTGGTCGCAGCAAACACAAACTCACACACACACACTCAGCAGCCGTGTTGACCTCTGACGTAATTGCCACATTAAATTTCGCCGTGAATGATAAATTCGAGGCAGCCAGAGTGAAAGAGAGGGAGCGAGTGCGGTGCGCGTGCCTGGCTCTCCGCTCGCATCCCCAACCCCCAAATCGACCTGATGTGTAGTGAGTGCCCCTGGTCGGCAGGCAGTCAGCAACAGGTCGTGCTACAAGCGAGCAGCCGTCGCCCGCTGCTGCCTCTTCACAGGTGAGTCTCTCTTTTTTTCTGCAATCAATGGTCCCCTCGAATCCGGGCCACTCTGCATGTGCAAGAGAGGAAAAGCACCCCTTGCTAAATGGCTGGTTGAGTGGCCCGGAAATTGTGTCGTTTCACCCTTGTTTTCTCCTTCTCCCCGGGAGGTTTCGCTCAAAAATTTTCAGCTAAAATGCAAGCTTCCGTTCATTTCTCTCTTTTTCTGCAGCTATCCCTTGAATCGGATAATTAAATAATTAGTTTTTAAAATTTAAAATAAAATTTAAACAAAATACTAATAGAACTGCTATTTATCTCTGCATTTATATGATTATAGTTAATGGTTTTTTAAATTTTAATTTCTTTTGTTTGTTCTGTATTTTTCCTGAAACACTAAATAATGAATGACTTGTTTGGATAAACATAAATGAATTGAATTTAAATGTATCCAATTTATTGCTGAAATAAAACACCACAAACTTAATCTTTGATATACAAAAATTAGAATTTTTAAAATATAAGAAATCTCTTAATTTTAAATTTAACAATTTTTGAAAAAATTGGTGATTCTTTTTTTGCTAAAATCTCTTGAACAATATTCAGACCAAAATATTTTTACTTCCAAAATTTATATTTTTGACAAGCACCTATTTTTTTATTGTTGAATAAAGTTGAGTTGTTTCCAGACGCGAAAATAATGATAAAATTTCCCAAACACATCAATTTATTTTCCGTAATTTTACCCGTAAAATATTTGCCTGCCTGGCTCATGTGATTGAATTAATAAATGAACATTTAAGTAAAATTCACTCCAGTTCTTTAACCCACGCCAGTTAATTTACTTAAGTTTAGCTTTTCCTTGCATATTGCTTTAAAGTGAAAACTCTCTTGGTCTTAGAAAACTATGCAAAATAAATTTAACGCATTTTCCGCATTTTGTCCAGCGTAATCCGGCTCGGCATCATTTATGTGAACAGTCCGAGTGCATCTCTGTGACTTTCCGCGTCGCTTCATTTGCAATATTGTGCAGACAAAAGTTTAATGGAAAATTCCTCGTGGTTTGTGAAGCGCGTTGCAATCATTCCACTATACTGAACTTGCAATCAGAAACCCATCTCCTCCAAATCGCAATTACAAGAAATAAAACAATATGAAAGGTCCAAATTTTGAGTTACAAAATATATTTGTTTTAACTAAGTACGTATTGAATGTTTTCCTAATTATTTTGTCATTTTGAAAAGTGATCCCGCTCTCAAAATTAAATTATTAGAGAGCCTCTTTGGCTATCATGATGTTCTCGAGATCGATAATTAATCATGGACTAATTGGACTGCCAGGGGGAAACTGATCCCTGGCAAACTAAGGTTTAACCTGTTGCTAATGCGATGCGCTGGCAGAAAGGAAAGACGACGATAATGAAGCAGCAGCCGGGGCGCCGGCGAGATGAGCCGGGAAAAGTGCTTTGCTGCTCTTGTGCAGCAGCCGGCGGTAGATCCACTCTCTGTCAGACATACATACATGTGTGTGTACAAATTCTCGTACCCGACGGTGTGTTTTGCTCAATTCAATTTGCCCGCGCTCGCTCGCTCTCTTCATCAAACAAGCCTTGTCTGCCGCTTATATTTTTACACCTCTGCGCGTTCCCTCTGTGCAGAACTAAATGTGCCGTGAAAATGGCAGAGCAAAAAATGGTGAGCTCCACCAGACTAATGACCCAATTCTGCCGGAGAGACGGATTTGATATTTTCTGTATTTGTTCCCAAAGCTGTTTTGCAATTCAGTTCCTGCAAAAATAATTATGCAAAACACACAAAAAGGGTTACTTTGAAAGGCTTACCAGGAAAAGCATCAAATAATCGTTTCAAATTTCCTAATAATGGTATAATACAGCATAAATAAATTTAAAAACCTGATTCCAGAAAAAGTGCTTTTTTTAATTTCATATGTTTCTGATTTTCGAAGCGGTCTTTGATTTTTTTTTTTAACCGGGTATATTAATTTTTGTTTCAGTTGCTGGACCAGAGTTGAATACAGAAAGGAAAAGCTCCCCTGCAACTCGCCCCGAGTGTGAAAGAACAAAGACCTCTTTTGAGTGCGTGTGTTCGTTTTGCACCAAGGGATTTGAGGTAGATGCCAGCGTCGGCCATGTTCTCCAAGTTCAAGCACGGTACAGGCGCGCAGAACGTCCTGGACAATAATCCGATATTGCAGTTTTTCGAAGTGGGAAAGCTGTTAGCGAGTGCTGGGCCTGAAATGGTCTGGAAAATCTACGACGGCTACAGGAAGAGCGACGGCAAGGTATGTTTACTTCAATAGCAAAAAAACAAGATACCGAAAATAAAATCAAGAAAAGGCAAAAATATTTGTAAGATGTGAAAATTAAGATATTCAATTTTTTTAACTTTTAAAAAATCACGGATTTCTGCATCACTTTGCAAAATACATTATAACAGATTTGCAGATTTAAAGTTTTTCAAGCTGTTGAAAGATGAAACTTTCATTATTTTTCTTTGCATCTATTACAAGATTGAGCTAAGATGTTTATGTTTAAAAATAGTATGAATTTTGATTTAGAATTTTAAATGAAAACACACAGTGGTAAAAAGCTGAATGTATGTTAAAAGCAAAGTAGAATTATAAATTTTAGAGCTCAACTTATAAGTTGGTCTTAATTGAAATTTGGCAAACTTGTTTTAAAAATGTCCATTTACTTCATCTATTTGTTATTTGTTAATTACCGCGGAAAAATCTTGATATTGGCAAAACCGATTTATGGTATAACCGCTGGGTGCGCCTTTTCGTAAATTGGCCCATTTTTAATTTTCCTCAAGCACCCTTTCATCCCCTGGGGATGAACATTCTTTACATTGAAAAACGCTTTTCCCTCACCACTTTACGTTTTCCAGTGAAACTTTTATTCTTCAATTGGTAAAATGGAAAAGCTGCTCATGCCATTTTAATATCCCCCATGGCATGGCTAAAATAGTGCGCTTGAGAGTGCAATTAAAGCGGCTGTCGCTTCTTGGCGACAGGTGCATTAGACGCAACAACAACGCCATTTTCCGCGAAGCAGACACTGAAACTCTCTCAGGGGGTTTTTGTTTTGCTCTTTGTTTCACTGTGATGCAAGATTTTGCGACGATCATTACGCCACTTTCCCAAATGCACACGGCGACAACAACCGCATTGTTCTTTTGTCAGACGCACGTGGCCAACGCTTTTTTGAAACAATATAATAATATATTACGGTCTTTCGCATTGTCATCTGCAGATCCTTTGTTACTCAATCGTATTCTTCAATGCCATTTTTTCATACCTGTTTTGTTTCGTTCTTCGTCGGGTCAGATTCAATGGTTTTTATAATTGTTATAAATTGCAAATTATCTTCATGAGAATTAAATACTTTCAATATTTTAATAGCATAAATTTTCATGCAAATGAATATTTAAAAGGTATTACAGGAGAAATACATAATTATAATATACATTCTCCATTTACAATTTGAATTAATTTAAAATTTTAAAAATATATTTTAAACATTAAATAATTCAACTGAAACATATATTTATTATTTTTCAGCGATAATATGAAATTTAAAGTTCAATTAGTCTCTATTTACCACACTAATTACCTACCAACATAATTCTAGTGTTGAACATTTGCCTCGGCGCCACAAGTTTCGCTCACATACTGTATGTTTGCCTTTGACTAGCGTTCAGGGCATAAACCGAGAGAATGGTGCTACACGAGTGGCGAATTATGTAATTATTTGCAACTGAACTGTTTGTGTGCCCGCTGCTGCAGAGGGCGATGTGCAATCCCTGAACTCTGCATTGCTCTATGTTTGCCAAAGGAATTTGCAACCCCCTGGCTTATTTGGCTCGGTCCCCTGGTGAGATCAATCGGTATTCTGGGGACATTGCATTCCCAGTGGCCGGCAAAGGTCAACATATTTTCCTTATTGGCACATTCCGATCGACCTCTCTCAATAATTAGCACGAAATGCGCACGTCTATTAATTAATCATATCATTCAACGGTTGATCTTTTGGTATGGCAGGAATTGGAGGATAAATTGGAGTTGGTTTTAAATAAATGCCTTTCATCAAAAGACATTAAAAGGTGCCTAACAATAAGAGACATCTAGGTTCATATATATATACGACCTTGTCATAGCAATGCGATAAATTAAGACTTCTTGAATTTATTAAAAAATTTATTTAAAAAAAGGCCTATAGATTAGAAAAATGTTGTAATCAACCGAGCAGGTATTTTCAAAATTATGATGATTAAAAATCGTCAAAGCTTTTCGCGTGAATGGCAATTTTCAGCTAAATTTTACACTGATGAATGCCCCATTGGTTGCTCATGCAAAATTAATTTCCATTAACGAGCTGTTTGCAGTCCCTCGGAAACAATTTCAAACGCCTGAAACGGTTTAGCTTTCCAGGAAAGCAGCAGAAAAGTCTTTGTTAATTTATTGTGATAGAGGAAATTTGACTCTTATTAAGAAAAGGGTGCACGCCTCAAAAGGGTTTCTTGCGAAATGCTGCAGGAAAGTGTAGCAAGAAAAATCGTCAAAGCGTCAGGATTTCTGACTGAGACGTTGCTCTCTGAGCTACAAATCCGCTTTAATTGGAAGCAACGTGCATTGTTTGTTGGGAATAGAAGTTCCAGACATAGATCGAAAACACCTGATGGGAAATGAAGTATACACAGTGCAGCATTTTGTCCCAAAGTTTCTTTTAAAGCCATCAAAAGTTTGCGCAAACCTTTTATTAACCTGCAGTTGATTGGTGCCGAGGCAATAAGCAGAAACTCGACCGAACTTTTGCTTCTCTGCGAGGAAAATAGAAAAAAGTGTGAGGACGCCAAAGTGAAGAGAAAGCGACAAGAATCGATAAAACTCAACTGCAGATCTCGAGACTTGTTTACCGAGGCGCACATTAGAGGTGGGGATGGGCACGCGGGCAGCAAAGTATAAAATCAAACAAACTAAGCCGCTTTACACCGAAAAGATTTCGGTGAGACGCACACGAGCAGCTCCTACTGTGTACAACTTGACGTGTCACTTCTGGGGAAAAAATCGCGCACAGCATGAATACCAATTTTCAAGAACTGTTGGCGTTGCCGGACCACTTTTCCCAAGCTCTTGACTTACTAAATTTTTTGCAGAATAATGAAAATATATTTTCAAACTTTTCTCGAACTGGATTTGAACAATTTTCAGAGAGTTTATATCTGAAAACTCGCAATATCCTTACAAAATTTTAATGTATTTTTTTTTGTATTATTAAGATTCAAATATTTCGGATGAATCATCTTCAGACGTAGTTTTTTGTTCTAGGTTTAATTTCTTCGTTCCATAAACTTAACGTCATAAACTAGAGGTTGAAAATTACAATTCATATTAAATTTCTTTTCAGCTCAATAATGAAACGAAACAATTTGCAAGTGTGGGTTTAAAATAATATTTCCTTTGTGAACACACTGCAAATATTGAAACACTTTCTCACCAAATATTGACTTTCAACCAAGTAGCTCGCATATATATATGGCATTTATATTCTTGTTTTGAGTCAATAATTTCCAAGCTTGAATTAGGGTCTGAAAATTGAATTCGGATGCGGGCGTTATTCGCAACAATGCCACGTTGTTATAACAATTTGCACATATGGAGAGAAAGCGCGAGAGGGACTAACAAAAGCCCTCTCGCTTTCTCTCCCTCTCGGCATATCCAACCGGGCACATTATCCCCTGTTTGCATGTGAATAATTCAATTAGACTGCGCGAGCAATTGTTTGTCGGCACATGGACTAATTGCGAGTGATACGCTGACGCAGCCGTTTTCGCTTTTAAATACTTGATCAATGCTCTTTACAAAGGTAGGCGACTGATTTATGCGTGGGCAGGAATCAAAAATCAAAAGTAAAATATACATATTTTTATTTTTTTTTAATTAATAACAAACCTTTATAATTATTTGGATTTATTAAAATACTTTATATTTCACATCCTTTTTGCAGATTTTATTTTAATGTGGGATAAAATTCCAGAGGAGAAAAGTAAATTAAATTTTCATCCCTTTCTGTTACAAAGAACCGTGAACATAAATAATTGAATAATTAAATCAGGTGCTGCCATCAACGTTTACACAGTACTAATGGCTCGTTTTTCCGTTTGGATTGACCCTCGGCTAATTAATAACGCTAGGGTGCAATTTTTGACATGTGACACGCAGTCGGGTGGTCGAATTGCTCACGCAACCATTTTCTCGTCGCTTAAACCGAGTAATCAATTTTGACTGGAAGGTTCACGCGGACTGGAATCAATGTGTATCGGCTGTTGGTGGTTAAAATCACCGATGAATTTTTAATGTCCTCGTGGGAAATCGCATTTGAGCCTCAGCTGTATTAAATATTATTCAAAGTTCAAATCGCAATGCAAGCATTATGGCAGGAAGCAATAGAGTAGCTGGCATTTATTATTGGCATCAAGAGGAAAAGTAAGAAAAAAAAATATATTATTTATAATTTACGTAGAGAATCCATTTATCATAGAAATTCATTGATTTTTTTTTTTAAAAACAAGAATACAGGAAACGTTTCAAAACACCCAATTTGGAGTTTAAACGCACCAATATAATTTTTCAATTCCACGCGCCAACTCCATATTATTTTATCACTAATCTGACCCAAACACCAAACATTATCAAAATGAATTAAAATCAAATGACATTTTTTAAACAGAAGGATCACTTTTTAACTTAATTAATGTTTAAAACATTATCTGAAGTTTTCTAAAAATATAATAGTGTGTCGCTATTTATTTATTCAATTTACTTCACTTAATTTATGAGCCAAATTTTTATATTTCAATTATTATTGTTTGTCTTACTAGACTTCAAAAATCGCAAAATTTTTGCGCAATATTGCTTTGAATGTTTTCCTTTCAAATTCATAAATTATATGTCTCAAATTTAGTATGTTGAAAGCGTTTACTAAAACAAAATATTCCGTCTTGGTCGATTCGGCTTTAGCTCTGCTGAATTTTGCATGATTTATATATACTATTTTGAACACTGCATCAGCCGTAAAAAATTGTGAATCTGTTATCATGATTTGAAACGATATTACAGCAATTTTTTATAATTCTAGCTTTCGTTCGCTTTTGTTCGTCAACGTTCAAAAATTCATAATTCAACTTGTTTCGCTCCACTTTAATAATTTATTTTTATTTTAATCTATCTTTGACAAAAATAAAATTGAGCAGATTAAGTTATTTCCAAGCACGAGAGCGAATAAAACGAGCCCCCCTTTTTCGTCGATTACAGGTGCGTCCAAAGAATAAATTAGCCACCCTTTGGGTGGCTGAAATCGTTTCATAACGAGCGCGCATTTGCATACCAAAGGTTAGGACTTTGCCCGGCCGAAATTTTATTCTGAGCCTCTTATTTCGCCCTATGGCAACCGCCGAAGCAGGTCGTAAATCAGAGCTCTCGTGCATGATTCCGACGTGTTTACAAACCGATTAATTATATGTGTGCGTGTGTACGCGAGGGAACAGGTCTCCCACGCGGTGGCAGAAATCGCGAGGGCGGTCGCCGCTGGAAATAGCAACAGGCTGATGACAGGCTCTGATGACACTGGAGCGGTGGATATCGAGTAGGTTGGTTTTCCCGGGCGGGCGGCAGCAAGACGACGCGAACACGCCGCGCTGACTAATCAATATTTAGACTGTGAATCCGAAACGACCGGGCTTCTTCTTCTTCCACCTCTCGCACGCGGCGGTGCCCTCTGAAATAATGCGCAGCCAGAAGCTGCTGGCCCTTTAGTCCAAAAGAGGGGCCTGGACAAATATTGACAGTCGTGTATCGGGTGACAGACTGCGCGCCGAAAACATATCTCGTTTTTCATCCCCAATCGAAGAAACGTATGAAGGCTGCGGAGGCAACTTCTTCTTCTTCTTCTTCTTTATGTAGGGACGAGACGGGCGCGTTTTCCACATGACAAATATGGGTGGAACACAGATTGAAGGGGGAATATCTTATTTTCCTGCCAACAAAATATTCTTTTCGTGTCACAGAACGAAATTGTTTTTCTTCCCACGCCACGCACACTTTTCCAAATAACAAATTGACTCTGCAGAGCTCCGGTGTTTAGTTACTTGTGTAGTTTTGGAATGAAGAAAAGTTATGTAATTTAAATTTTACCAAAGGTTAAACAATCACTAACAGAACATGCAATTTTTCTAAATATTTTTACAATTCCAACACATCCTTGTGATTTTTTTTTTCAACTGGGAAATTAATCTTTTAAAGTTTCTATCTAAATATTTTTTAAAACAATTTCATTTTTAATTTTTTGTCCATGTTTAAGTTATTTAAATAGATGAAAAATATGGATTTTTTTTATTTAATTTTCGTCAGCAATGAAATTGGTTAAATGTAACTAATTACTATATTTATATTTTATTTTTTTTCTACTTTTTATCAGAGTGAATAAGTTTCTTAAAACCAAGCTAAAAAAAACCTGTAGAAGAATGGAACTCTTTCAAAACAAGGAGTGCTCTGTCTTCTCTCTTTAATGAAACTTGTTTTGAGAGTGCAAAAAAATCACTCGACGATGTTTCCACTTTTTTGCCAACCACAATTGAGTCTCTAATAGGAAGATTTAATGGCCTTAAGAGGGGAAGCGTCAGCAAGATGGATAGTTTGAGGCTTGATTGGCGGCCGCTCTCTTTCGCAAAGCCCCACCGGCCTCGTCTATTAATCCCTTGTCTCTCATGGTGCATCTAAAAAGGAGAGCTTACGACTGACGGGAAAATTAAAAAAAAAACTTCTTGCATGTTTTTTTTTTAATGAAAGCAACGCAGGCAAACAAAACGCTAAATAGCCTTTGGGTATGCTTTTACAGGACTGTGTGCGTTTCCTTTCTCTGTTCTGTTTGTACTTTTTCTCGCCCCCGTTTTTTTTTTTTTTTTTTTTGTTCATCCTGCGAGTTTCTCGTTTTCAAACCTGCCGGGGTGTTGTCAAAATGGCACCAGCAGCTGTTGCTTCTGCCCGGCCTCCCACTCGTGACTAGGCCTCCGTAATAATGTACACTTTGGCCGACAAAAACGCACCGAGCGTGAATTTATTGTTGGGCACTGGGACGTGCGTTTGTTACGTAATGGAAACTCAATTGCTTGGTCCTTTCAAAGCCCGCGGCCTGTGGCTAAATGCTATTCGTTGCTTTGAGAGCGGATCGATATTTTGTTGCAGGAAATTCGGGTTTAATAGTGGAAATTATGGATGGTCAAAATAAATGGACACGCGTGGGCTTCAAAAGCCTTTTATAATTAAAATTAATATTCCGGGAAAGAAGGAAACGCTTTTGCAGCTTTGCTGCACTTCCCATTTCTTTGAACTGGGATCTCCTGGAATATGTTTTAAGTATGCAACCTGCTAAGCTTATTTGTTGTGCGGGAGTGCATACTTTGTACTTCACAGGCATTTACGAGTGGCAGCGTACATATAAAAATAACTCGACTGTTCTCCGCGAGGACTGCAACGCATAAAGGCGATTCAAATTCCCTCTTATATTGTGTACTTTCCTGTTCATTTTTGTAGCCAGAGTGCGTGAAGTACTATCAGCTTCATATGTTCTACTGGAAAAATATTGAGTTATTTAATAAAATAATCCAGCTAAAATTTGTGTTGTCACTAAATTTTTTAGTTTGAGTTCAGTAAATTTATAAATACATTTTAATATCAATAAATTGTTACATCAGTAGTTAGCATTATTATTAGTATTATTATATCACAGTTGGCATAATTTTTACACAGCATTTAATATTTAAATATTGAAAGAACGTGTAAGATTGTTTGGAATTCAAGGCTTCATAGATTTGCTTGTAAATAAAATCTATGAGGAGCTTAAAGCTTTGAAGCAAAAGCGTCATTTTCATAAAAGAAGAAGCGGAACTAGACAGTCATGAGGAAAAACGAGGATGCACCCACGCATATTTCAAGCCTGGGCAAAGAGCCCGTTGTAAATTACCGAGTAGAAACCATGGCATAAAGTAGAAAAAAATATGCCATAAAACATGGGAAGAAAATCTCATTACGCATGTATGCGAATGGCCTGCACGGTGGGAGGGTGGGTAATTGAAATCGATTTTTGCATCTCGAGGGATGAGCCGCAGCAGGTGTGTTGCAGCGCGCATAACTCACGCCGCGCCAAACCACCTGCCCACCCACCCACCCACCCTGCCAGATCGATCGCGCCTGTTGCATTTCATACCGGCCGGATGCACCTCCCCCACCTGCTGGGAGCACCCTTTGCACTCGCGGCTCGAGTTGCGACGCCGGAAGTGGCCCTGCTTTGTATTCATAGCGGCGGCGTCGTTTGATTCGCCATATATTCAATTACCGTGACGCAGAGACGGCGTATTTTAATGCTTCTCAGACCATGTATAGGAAATTGAAGGAAACGAATTGAAGTGTCCTTTATCTTGCGTTTCTGTCAACTTTTCTATTGATTGATCAATGTGATTTTATACCTTAAAAAAGGATAAAGTGATGCAAAACACAAATGAATGAATTTTAAAACCGATCAATGAAAATCACTGCTTTAAAATTTTTTTTAAAACATTTCCGTTTAATTTAAATATTTTTTTATTATTTGTAATAAATAACCCTTAATATTATTTTCATTTCTTATTGAAACTCTATTATTATAAACTTTTCTAATTCAATTCAGCAAAAAAATTCTAAAGAAAAAAAACTAAATTTAGCTTAGGATTCAAATTACAACACAAATATCAACAAACTTCACGGTTCTTTAATCAACGTTTAAATTTTTAAAATAAAAATACTCTATACTATAAGGTTATAGATTTTACCAAAATTTGATCACTGTTCCGACTATTCCTGAATTTTTCAAACCGTTAAAGTTTTGGGGGAAGAATAGAAATATGTAATAAAATTTTATTATTGCACTTACAATGCTCAGTTGTAATTCATACCCATTTACAGCTGGGTCAAAGAGATACGGAAGACAAAGAATCAATAGGAATTAAACATAGTTAAAATTTTTTCGTTTAACCATTAAAACTGTTTCCGAGTTAAATTCTTAATATTAGGGTGTCGTCACGATTTTGAATCAGTTTTGGACTAAAAAATATCATGAATTTTTCATAATATTTGAAATTTTATAACAGCATGCACTCGTCTTGAAACTATAATTTTCACTAGCCCTCTGAGTGAGCGCGAGTTTTTATGTGCCCTTTTGCCCGGCGTCGGAAATTATTATTCAAAAACTGGAATGAAATATTGCTGAGCGCAAAAATTTGGAACCACCTTTCCGCTTAATTCCAATTTAATGAGGGAGCGAGTTGCCCGGAAAGGATTAGTTGCCCTGCAGATATCGACGTGTAGGTTCTTGTGGACGGTCGGTATAGAACCTGCAAACAACGCAAAATTAAAAAAGGGTTGCGGAACCCCGGAGGCGGGGCCTCATTTCATCAGCGGCAAGTAATTTATTTGCCAAGTTTCGCGGCAGGAAATGTTGCTCGGGCAACTTTGTTTTTAGGTCAGTCTCGCAGCTTTTGCATCTCGTCCTCCGCAACTGCTCGCGACACCCGTTCGCCGCCAGCACGTGCTTAATTAACTTAAGCGGGCCAATTCGTCGGAAAGAAAAAGTTGCAGGCAACCTGTTGCGGCGGGGAGAGACTTTCAGCTTTTTACGGCCAAGCCGATTGTAAAAATGCGTCGCCGCCGTTCCAATTTTATTGTAAACAAATTCTATACGGCGCGTGTATTTGGATAAAAGTTTTATGGACTATTTGCTGAGGTCATTAACCGCTCCAAATGGAGTTTTTACTAGGACGGAAGCCTGGATTAGCAATCAAGTTCGTCTTTTTAAGCTGACTAAGAGTCGTAAAAACCTGTTTATGGCAGAAATTGAAAAGCGAGAAAAGGCAAACTGAAATATCCCTCAAAATCTCTTTTTGCTTTAGTAAATAAGTTGGAATGAATACTACTTTTAACTTTTGGAACTTTTTTTCTTTTTTTAGTTAAATCTTGATTTAAAAATTAATTTTGTAAAGAAACTGCAATTATGTCCATATATTTGCAACATAAACCAATTGATTAAGAAAATAATTTTTACATTTGCTTACTTTCGCAGGAAGTGTCTGTGTTCCTTTTCGAAAAACGCACCGCCGAGAAGCTGCACAAGCCCAAGAGAAAAGAGACAGTGACGGAGATCCTGCGGGCCAGCGTGCGCCAATTGGAGCGCTTCAGGCATCCCAAGATATTGCAGGTAAATATCCGTATCCAATTTTCTTTCCACCAACCTCCGTGCCAACCTCTCACAGAACACTTTCTCTGGCTGAATCTATTTGAACTCGACGATACCAAAAATATCTCTAAATATTTTATCCATAAAATAAGGAGAAACGTATGTCATTTTCTCTCGTTTAAAAATCAAGATAATAAACTTAATATCTCAAATACTTTACTCGGTTTTACTGTTAAAGCGACATTTTGATAAATTTTGGGCTAGTGATCAATTATCTTGCCTATTTTTGTTATTTATAATTGTAATTATTATTGTGCCTAGAAATTCGGTTTTGAAAGAGTAATAAAGAATTTTCCGCTATTCTAAAATCTAATTATTAGGCCATCTTGAATTTAAATTTAGCATAAATAAAAATATTTATATTTTATTTATATCGTTATTTGTCAAAGCTCTGGAGAGGAGTTTGAAATATTATTTGACTATCATTTCAAGGTTCTGCACTCGGTGGAGGAATGTAGTGAGACTTTGGCGTTCGCCGCCGAGCCAGTTTACGCGAGTATGGCCAACATCCTGGCCTATCAAGAGGATCGGCCGCAAGGGGGACCTCCGCCCTTGGCCCGCGAGTACAACTTCCTTGAAATCGAGCTGAAATACGGCCTGCTGCAGGTGAGACTCATTTCTGGCATTTCTCATTTCCTGTCCGCCTTTGAGAATTTTGAAGGAAAAAAGTTGCGATTTTTCCTTGTTCGTTTCGCGGAATTGATTTAGTACCGGAAGGTTCTACATGTTGCACTCAACGAATATTGCTCTTCCTTTTTGCACAATCCCAAAACTTCCTAATGCCGTGCGAATCGCGCATGTTCATCCGAAAAGCCCGAGAGTGAAATTCGTACGAGAGAGCGGAAAGTTCACGCGCGCGGCATAAATATATTCAAAACGAGAGAAAAAGCAAGAGAGACGCTTGGCAAAGTTTTCTCCCGCGTAATCCCAGAAGAAAATCTCCCTCGGAAGGCCATCTTTTGTTTGGAGGTGGCGAGCCGGCCAACTTATCGACCGACGAGGCCTGGCTATTTATTTCAGGACACATCATCCATCCATCTTCATTTCCACGTTTCGCCTCTTTTCTTTCTTGTTCCGACTCAAGATAAAAATGATGATTATTTTTCTTCGTGATTTCCTTTCTTTTTCTACGCAATTAATTTATAGCCCCTAGTCTACTTCCTGTTGTCTGAAAGCATTCGAGGACTTGGAAATAAACAGAGGCGAGCGCGGAAATAGAGCGCGGCGGCGTCTCTGGTGCAAACCCTGCCCGCGCGTAAGCCGCTTGCCTCTACCAGATAAATGCTGCACAAACAAAACTCCTTGCTATAGCATTAAGCACATCAATTTTGTATGGAGGTGTATGCCTAGAGTTTTGCGCAAAATCCATTAACTCTGTCGCGCATGCACTCCGCTCTAATACATACAGGAATGGAAAGACATCTGATGCCTGCAAGCCCTCCCTACTTGAGTGTAATTGAAAACAATGTCGCAAGGCTGGTTTAATATTCTGCAATGGGCTTTTGGCAGACAAGAAAAAGCTCTTTTGCTTCTTCTAAGACACGGTAGTATTTACACAAAGAGTTAAAAAGTTATTACTTTATTAATTTTTCCATAAATAACCAAGGAAAACAAAATTATGCTTACGTGCTTTATTTGCTGGGAAATGTAATTAATAATTATTAACCGCAGCTGAAGCAAGCTTAGACTGTGATTACTAGTAAAACGGACAAATTTTGATGACGCGATTTAATGTAATCTGTATAATCAGCTTTTGTGATAAATCTGTCCCATTCATAATACGTACTGAAAATATTTTTTTCAATTCAGATCGCTAAAGCTGCATGACCTGATTTTATTAGTTATGAACTTACTTGTTGATTGAGATATAAAGTGAAGTTTCATCAACCAGTAATAAAATATCTAATGATGGCCATTGTGATTGGTTGATTTACACCCGATTGTTTTGTATTGTATTTTCTAATTTGGAAATTTCAAACAATTTTCCCTTCCTTTAAATAACCATAAAATATTTTTACATTTTAGCCCTTTTAGTTGTCAAATTTATTAACTTTTTAACTCGAAGCTTTTAAGCTTATTTTTTGTTTGCAATCTCATTAATGCAGGACCTACGCCTGAAAATTCGCAATTTCCACTTTCGCTGTCTCGAAAGTAAAGAAGTCACGACTTATGCCGCCTCTTTAGAACAACAAAAGCAAACTCGTCTCCATTGCTCTTCCGCCGTTTTTCTCATTTCAGCAGCCCTAGGGAGACGCAGGCAGACAACATAATGAAAAGCCCACGCGCGTCTCGGCAAAATTAAGGATTCTCAGTGCGTGGAATTGGTCGCATTAAGTATATTTTTAAAGGAATAGCTGCTGTGGAGTGCGTGCGAGGGTTTTTCCGCGAAGTGCCGTCGTCGCCACCGCATCCGCGCACCTCCAACTTCGGGAAACGCGAACGTGACGAGCCGGTCTAATTACGCCGAAAGCAAAAAGGGAGAGATGCGGCCCCGGCGGTTTTTCCGGCCGACGACCACGTAATCTTTTATGATGGCACACAAAACTCGCGGCGTGTGGCTTAATGATTTAAGTCTCCTTTTGTTCGCCTCCTGAAAGAGAGACACACTGTACGCCGCACACGTCATTGCTCCTGAGCTTCAGTTTGAAAGTATCTTAGATTAATTATAAATTTTCTCATTTTGAAATTCAATGTGAAATGCAGAAAAAAATTAACATCCAAAATTTTTTAATTTTATTGAGAAATTTATCAATGCTATTTAATTTCTATGTTATAAATATTAGTTTAGGTAATTATTATAAAATTTAAATAGTTACAAAATCTAACCTTTATATTGTTTTAAAATTTCTTTTTGTTCTTGCGTCTGGATTAGTGAAGAATATAATAATAAGCTGACTTTATGACAAGCCAATCAATTTATTTATTTAATCAGAAATTGTTTGATAAAAGAGTTTGATTATGTCGAGGAACTTGCAATGGCAAAAAAAATGTTGATCAAAACCTGTTGTTGGCAGATCACCGAAGCGCTGACTTTCCTGCACTACTCGGGCCACGTGCTGCACCGCAACGTTTGTCCAGCAAGCATCCTGGTGACCAAGAAGGGGACCTGGAAGCTCGGAGGATTAGAGTTTACGGGTAAGTCTGGTTGTTCTTGAGCCGGAGAGGGTAAACGGTCGCACGCGTTAATCCGCATCGTTTTATGTGCGCGGCTGAAAACCCACCTGCGTCTCCATCGGGGCAAACACCCGAACCGAGAGGCCTGGCCGGTGTTATTAAAGTGAGATGTTTGTTGATGAGCGCACGACACATTCCGCTTTCGTTCATTAAAATTTTACGACGCCGGCGCCATTTACGGAATTGCATTCTCTAGTAGTCCGCCGGCCGGCCGGCCGGCGTAATTACACCCAATGAATTATTATTGTGCATGTCCGCCGCTAATGAGCAGCTTGATTGCCTTGTGTTTGCGCACACGGACCGTTGTAATCCAATTTTTCGAAAACAAGGAAAAATTAACTGCTCTCCAGCGTGGGGCCGTGAAATGCAAAGGTCAAGCAGTGGCGCGATGATGCCGATGATGTGGTTATGCAGCCCCCTTAACTTGCCCGTGGTGCGTGATGCATCTCAATAAACTCTACATACGCCGCGCTTCCGCCACACTGAAATACTTTTAAATTACAGAGCCGGCGTACATTGAATGAATAAAACATAAAACTGATCAAAGAGCCAGACTCGATGCAATCGTCAAATGATCACATGAGTTTCAAAATTATAGTTAATTTTTAAGTCGAATTTTCTTTGTTTAATAGAAAAGATATTTTTAACCTCTTGCCAGTATTATTTAATTATATATCTTTGTGTAGCTTTCATTAAATATTACTTATTGTTAGCTGAAAAATTCAAAGTTGAAAAGAATTACTCAACAATTAGTTTATTTCACCAAAATTGCATCCCGTTTTTACATTATGTAAATAAACTCGAAAAGAATGTCGTTAGAAATTTTTATTTGAGGTTCTTGAAACATTTTAGGCCCCTTTTGGCTCCTCGATCCATCCAACCGCAAACCCTCATTCCCATTACTGGCGGCACCACCGTTATAAAAATTCTCCGAGCCGTAATTTTCCACCTGACGAGCGAACCGTCAGCAATCTCTATCGCCGCCCTTAATTCCACAATGGACCTCCGTTTCTTTCCAAATCGGTGCCGATCGATCGACGCTGCTTTTAAAGTTCATAGTTCGGCGTGACCTGCCCCGCTCCCCCGACAAGGGCTGCCCCAAATTAGCAAACTTTTTGGCGCGCCAAACTTTCCTCTTGAATGCGCAGACCAAAAAAGCTGAAAACTTTTGGGTTTTGTAATAATAAAGTCTACTTCCCAAAACTTAGCACGATGGGCTAATTTGTGCGTTATCCTTTGACAGAGCGAATGAATGAAGTCGACGGACTCGAACCTGTGCCGTGTCAACCTTGGACGTCAAGACTGCCAAAAATGGCTCAGCCCGACCTGGATTATATAGGTAGGGAGTTTTGGCATCCATATTTGTAGCTAAATGGTTCAAATTAGGTTTTTAAATTAGGAATGAAACTGTACCATGCAAGAAGCAATTGTTTATCTAAAATAAAGTATAACTTCAACTAAAAATTTGAAATGAACATATCGGGCTTTTCTTCGTTGCAAAAATTGTTTTCATTTAAAAACAAATGGCTCTTCTAGTTTCTTTGATTTTTATAAATTATAATATATTTTAAAACGTTTTGCATTGAGTAAATTTGACCTCAAAACCCAGTCTAAATAATTTAATAAAAATTACATTTCTAAAATAATAACCTACTCCACCTACTCCACTTTGGATCAAAGACATACCTGAGAATATAACAGAACATTTAATAATTCAGAAAAATTTACTAAATTTTTTAAAATTTTATTCCTAACTAACTAGATATAATTTTCAGATAGTTTTTTTTTCGACAGTTTTTGACTAAATATTTGCAAACCAAGCCACTTTCCCAACAATTTATTTTTTATTTTCAGCTCCAGAAGTGCAGTCGTCGTCAGTTTGCAGCATTCTATCAGACATGTTCTCTCTGGGCATGGTGATGTGTGCGATTTTCAACCACGGCAAGCCGCTCATCCAAGCCAACCACAGCAGCTCAACATACCTCAAACAGCTCGACTTGGTACGCTATTTTTTGTTTAAATTGTATGTTTTTTCAAGTCTTTTGCTTTTTCGTATTTGTGGAGAAATTGTAGTTTGACAACATTTATGCAAACTCAGAAGTTTTGTTTGGAATTTTTAAAGAGACCGCAAACAAAATTATTCTTTTTGTCGGCGCAACAGCTGGAACGACTGGGTTGTTCGGTAAAAAGTTTTTGTATTGCACAATTCCCACGAAAAAGAACAAATTGGATTTCTCTCTTTCTGTCAGAGGGCAAAAAGCTCCTCTTTTTGGCCCGCTCGCTATTTCCTTTTGTGCTCCTCCACACAATAAGACTTCATTCTAATCCAATTTTTGAGAACGCTCGATTTGCAAGTGTATGTTATGACCCAAACGCTTTCTTTATTCATCCGAAAGCACTTTAAGACCATAAAAACCTTGGTAACTGCATTATCAATTCCACGTTAAGCTCAAATCTCTTCAGATATTTTTTATTTTTTTTCTGTACAGTGAATCGCTTTATTATTTTTCTTCTTATTTACTTCTTTTTATAAGTAAATAGCAAAAATTCCAACAACGGCTACAAAAATTGATTCAGTTTTCAAGTTATTCGGAATTTTTTTAATGAGGTTACAAGAAAACTTCAAAAGTGGCAACACATTTTAAAAAATAATGAGCTAATTTATTGATTACTTTGTATTTAGAATTAGAATATAAATGTTAAAGATATTGTGTTTATTTGCAAAATGCGTTTCGGTTGTAACATATTTTTGTTGGATGGGAATTTCATCCACTTTATTTTTCGTTTTGTTCCAGTTGGAGGATCAGATACACAACGTTTTGCCCAAGGTGCCCATTCCCCTGCAAGAGGCCGCCTCGAGACTCTTGAGCAAAGATACGCGGCAAAGACCCACGGCACAATTACTCTCGCTCATCAAGTACTTTAGGTAATTACACTCCTCTGTAATCGACTGCTCAGAGGCCCCATTGTTTGATATTCCCTCTGTAGCAGCGCTTTTTCCACTGATTATCTTGCAAAGATTTCCTGCAGACAGCAATAATGGTTTTTAAAGTTAATTGTTTACCAAAACTTGAGTGAGCTACTCGCGTGCAGGTTGCAATTTCATTAAATTTCAATTTTAAAAATGTGTTAAATATGAAAAAATTTGAAAATCACTTGATCATATATTAATCATCGAAATATTTTCTATTAAAAATGTTTTTTTTTTTTTAATATAAAAGTTACTTTCGATTTTTTGTATATGTATGCTTTAATTTCTTGAAGAAAATTTTAAAGTAATTTTAATAAAAAATTGTAAATATTTTTGTTGCAGTGATTCGTCTGTGCACGCCTTACAGTTTTTAGATGTGATCAACATGAAGGACCCAACCCAGAAAGCTCACTTCTACCGGAACACACTCAAAGATACCCTCCCTTATATTCCAAGGGTAAGTGGCACACGCACACACCATTTCACCGTCAATCGAATTACCCTTTACCTATCTGGAGAGTAAATTCCAATGATTCCGTGAGCGGTCATAACATTAAAGCGCCGCCCACGCGGTGTACATTTTTTTTCCTCCAAACGAGCGGAGAGAGAAAGCGAAACAATTTGTTCCGTGCAGAGAGAACATTCTGCAGCAGCATTAAATGAAGCCGATCAATAATTTTGGGGAGAACAGAGCAAAGATTTAATTGCTCAGCCTGCTGCTGCGACAATTCGCCAGAGGCGATGATTCGTCTTTTTGCTCAAACGGCAGCCATCTCGTTAGCTGATTAAATAACATTTTTTTTTTAATTAATCCTGCGCTCTAGAGAATTCTGGAGTCTTTTTTTTTGACAGAAAATCCTATTGCTTTTTTAAGGTTATCAACGCGGAAATAATTGGGAGGAAATCAGTAAAGGCTAATTTTGTTCTCCACATTGTTTTGAGAACAAAGGAGATCAGAATAAACTTAGTCATTATCATAAGTGGCAAAATTATAGACTGCGCCTTTGTTTAAAGAGGAGCTTGAGGTATAATCAAAATGTTTTTGCTGAAATACATACGTAAAAAGGTAAATTAATTATTTTCTAAATCGGATGACAAGAACTTTGGTTTGATAACTTTTTTTAACAATAAATGTTTTTTGTCGCGGAATATATTATTTTGCTAAATTCCTCTGATAATAATTTAGAATTAATATACTTTTCATAAAACTTAAGTTGTTACATTCAGCCCAACTGATAATATCACGACTCGTGGAATTAAATAGTTAAATATTGCAAAAAAAAGCTCATGAATTTTAAAGGGGTCATTCAAGCAGACGCCTTAAGATTTATTTTCACATATTAAATGAATTAGATTTTCACAGAATTTTTTTAAAATATGGCTTAAAATTAGGCTTAGTTTTAACCAAAGAATTGATTTTTGAAACTTCAAATTAATTTGTGTAATAATAAAAGGAGTTTTTAATTTGCCAATAAAATACGTCAACAAAATTTCCTTGGCGATTTTACAAAAATTAAGCCGCTCATGAATACTTGGCTATTCTTGTCTATTCCACTGAGGCACGTTCGTGAATACATTTTGCAGAAACTGTGGTATCAGCACGTGTGGCCGTGTCTTTCGCATGAAATGAAGGCTCAGGAGGTGCTGGCCGCTGTGCTGCAGCCCATCATTTACATCATTCAAGAGAGCTCGCAAGAGGAGTACGAGAATCTCATGTTGCCCCTTTTCAGGTGAGTTTCCGCGCAGCGAAATGAGAAATTGCTTTTTTTGCCTCCCTGCGCGCGGTGGCACAGATTAGGAAAAAAATCCGCCAAGGACCCTAATCTGAGAGAGCCGCCCACGCACCTGATTTCCTTTCGCAATCACATATTTTTTCTCCACTTCTTCCCATGACAGCGGTTCTGAAATATCGACCGCGCGTAATAATTCTCGCCGGTGGCATTTTGATGAAAAATTCATGACTGTGTTGCAGGAGTGTGTTCGCGGCGCCCAAATCCATCCAAGCCACAGTTACTCTTTTAGAGAATTTGCATATTATTCTAGAGAAAACGCCACCAGAGGATGTTCGTACCGAGGTACTGCCTATGTTGTTTAACGCCTTCGAAAGCTCCACTCTGCAAGTACAGGTAGGTGCCAACGGCGCTGGCTTTTTTCTCATTTCCGGAGCTCGTCTGCTCGGAAATTCTGCGCGCTCTTTCGATCCTTTTTTACTTCCTTTTACTCCCACCCATCGAGACGTTTTTTTTCCCACCTAGCTTTTATCGCACTTTAATTAATCCTGTTAGAATATTTCTTCATCGTACTACTTTTCCAGCAATTTAAATTAACCGACTGTAAACGTGAAGATTTTAATTGAGTTTCATTTGCTTTTGGTTGATTTATTTCAGGGAGTAATTACTTAAAAAAATTTACTTGCCTTTGCTTGATCTCAAAAGTAGTGCTCAGTCGGGTGGGGTTTATTAAGTAATCAATCATTTTTACTATTTAATAATTGGCTAAATGAATTAGTCACATAAATTTTTGAAATCAAAATTGAAATGCAACGCACCTTGATGGAAAAAACTCGAGTTGCCAAAGTTTAATTAAAATTTTTTAATTTTAGTAACCTAAAAACTGTTGTTGTGCATATGTTATCATGCACAATCTTCCAGTTCTATTTTTTAATTGATGTTGTTTATTTTTCCGCATTGTTACATTATACATTGTTTACTTTTTTTGAATTGTTGAAAACAATTTATTGAAAAAAAGGAATTGTTAGACAGAATGGCAAGAATTTTTTTCAATAACATAACCATTTTTAATGAATCACACCTCACATACACTTAAATTTATATAATAAGTGCTTTTCCCGTCGCCGAATTAAATAAGAACTTCAACAGCCCTCGTTATTGAGAAACATGTCCTGCTATACGCACCTGGCGTGGGCGAGAATCTCCAGGCACATTTCCAAGCTCCGAAAATAGAGAGTTCGTCAATCTGAAATTTGCATGACAGCGCATTTTCAGATGCTTCCCGCAAATCAACGCTCGCCCACGCAGTCTCCCGTCAATTAAATTTGTAACTCCATCGAGTGTGAATGTGCTACTCATTCAATTCATTCACGTCACAAATCCCAGTGGATTTGTATTCAATTTTGATTTATTTGTAGCAAAATTCACCCTATTTAATCGTCAAACGAGCATGCAAAAGCTGATTTAAATCCCCTGTTTATTGGAATTAAAACCCACACGTTTGTGATTTTTTTTTGCTCATGTGCAGAGTGCGGCGCTGGTCGCCGTCACCAACGTGGCAGAGTATTTGGACGAGAGCGCGATTCGCAAGATGATCATGCCCAAGACCAAATTGGTGTACGAGAAAAACTCAGGGGACATCAAAACGGTGCTGAACGTGCTGTCATGCGTCGAGAGGACCCTGGACAAGCTGGACAGGCCCATGATCATCGACGAGGTGCTGCCGCTGCTGTGGGACGTCCGGCTTTCTGACCCTGAAGTCATTTTGCGGGTTGTTAGTAAGTGAAAATTATTAAATTCGAGCAATTTATTTATTTATTCATTATAAGTGTAATCCCGTGCCATCAACTATTTTTGCTATTGGGGCTTAGTTGGAGTAACTCTACAGTATAATTTTTAATATTTTTTATGTATATAATTATAATGAATAGTTGTTTTTATAGCAGAACTTAAAACAGTCATTATTTATTAATTAAATTGATTTTTTAATATATGCACGATTATTAGAATTTAAAAACTGTAGCTAACCAAAATTTCTATGACAGAGTTATAATAAAATTAAAATTTTAATATTGATAATTTTATCGTTTTAGGTCTCAATGTTTTTTTTTATGTTTTTAATTATTATATATTTAATGGTATGTAAATTTAAATTTGGTTCCTGTAGATTTAGTTTGCGAGATCATTTTACTCAGATGATACTTTTCATAATGTAAAATAAATCGTCATTGGGGAATAATGTTGAAATTTTCACATTCTGTTCGTAAATTTGAAAATTTACTCATCGTCTATTTTTCTCTGATTAGATATTTACAGACTGATGTTAAGCGATAAGAAATTCGGCCTGTCGGTAAACCTGATGGCGACGAGGGTGATGCCCTCCCTGCTGCCCCAGACGGTCAACCCCTCGCTTAATCTCGAGCAGTTCACTGGTCTTCTCGAGGTGCTTCAAGAAATGCTCGACCACATTGACCGGTGAGTTTTTTGCCCAGAAATTAATTGTTCAAAATCCAGGGCTGATTACGCACTTGAGTTAAGTTAAGTAAAGCGCGGATTAATGTGGTCTCGCTTTTAGGGGCGTCCTTCCCCGCCGCAATTCATAGTGCAAACAGCCCCTTGCTGCGCCAAATTGATAACCAAACCGCAGGGCGACGGCATCTATTTGCGCCCAGCATGGGTCCCCAGATCCATTAGGCGCGCGTATATAATTTGTGGCCCTGTAAGCGAACGAGATTGCTGGGAAATTTGTCCACTTCGAAATATACAGCAAGGGGTTGTCATTGCCTTTTCCAGAGAGGGAAAAATTGACATTTGACGCCGGCGACAAATGTTTTAATTACTTTCGGTCTCCCAACGTGGGCCAAACTTTCACGCGAGGGATTAACGGCGGCGGTTTTCTGAAACGCGGATTACGTCATGGTTCATTAAAGGAGTGAGACCCGAGGGAAGATTTTAAGTTGAGCAAAAGACGTGACACACCCAAACTCTCTTTTTGATCTGCAATCCCTCGTTGCTAATGACATTGGATGGAATCGGAGCCTTCTTTGTTGCGTCCCCTCGCTTGCAATTAGAAAGACGAACCTTTCACGAGAAACTAGTTATAAAAGCGCCCACTCAACTGCCACGTTATTGCATTGCAGTGTGATTTAGTTGATCAAGGAACGCAGAAACACGAATCAAATTAACTAATTAATGAGACTGAACAAATTTAAAGACAAATAAAAATGTTTTTAATTAGAAAAATTCCCATCTTATAAAATATAAACTTTTTATCGCTTTTTATACCTAAAAATTTAAAAATATTAGCAACAACAAAACAATCTTAAAACTGTACTATTTTGTTTCATTTCCTCTAAAAATTTTATTATGCTTCTTAACAGAGTCATTTTTATAATTAAATTAAATTAATTAATAATTTAAGTCTATTTAACCAGCCAGCGCAAAAATCTTAAAAGATAACTTATTCCAAATTTGCACTTATTATATTTATTTTATTACAATTTATTTTTTTTTTCAGTTAATCAAAAAGTAATACAAAATTATTTAATTATATTAAAAGTGTTCTGCTTCTTCCAACAACAAAAAGTCTGGTTCCACGAATAATTTATAATGTGACCCTACATTTTTTTTTCATCTGTACGCTAAAATTTCCCGCAGCTCAAAATTTCTTTCTTTCTCTTGTATCCGCATTTTCGTTTTGTTTTGATGTTTTCGTGAAAAACGATGATGGGTTGCCAAAAGTGAGTATGATCTGCCACGTTTCAGAGGGTCCAGCCGAGATCAAAGGCGATATCTCTATCAATCTATCTCTCCCCACGCATCTCCCTTTGACTCTTTGGCTGTGTGTGCATGTGTTTCAGCACCGAAGATAATAAACGCAGGCTGCGTGCCACTGATACCGATGGACAGATTCACGTGTCCCTCGCTTATCACCCAACCGACCATGCTCCAATACCTGCGCCATCTCTTTCATAATCGCTAACAAAGCCCGTGGCGAGGGAGCGCGTTTGATAAAATTACACAAGGCACGACGATATCCAATTATCTCCGCCGCTCCACTCAAGAGCCACTCGAATTTTTAATTAAAATCTGGCACCGAGCTTTCACTTTTTTTCCTCCTTCAATGAGCAGGAAATTAGTAATATAAGGTGTGCGCCTTAATAAAAAATAAAATCTCTTCCGCGTCAAGTACATCATTTAATGAGAAACCGTTTGCAGCAAAAATTTAAAACATTTCAAATTTTTAATTTCGAATTCAGGAACCAGCGAAACAAGCTGAAGTTGGACAACTTGTCCTTGCCAAGTCCCGAGCGGCACCGACCTTTGCGTCACCAGTTCAGCACAGACAACATGCACGCGAGTCCTCCGTTCAACATCCCGAACTTGAGAATCGAACAGAGGAAGACCTCGAGTGCGGAGGATATGGCCAGAAAGAACTCAGCGGGCGCAACGAGTTTGCATGGTAGGGTATAAGAATTTATTTTTCTCAAGCTTTTTTTTTAATTTCCAAATTTTTATGTATACATGAAATAAAATTATTGCAAATTTTGGATAATTTTGAATTGAAAAACTGGCGGGGTTGAAGGTCACATTCAGAAAGGTAACGTAATTAGGATTAATAAGTACATGAAGAATAAAATTTTTTCCCCTAGAAATCTTAAAATACCATTTTGTAATGATTGTACCAAAATTATGCCAGCTTAGATTTTACTAATTTTATTTAAATAAAAAATTCAAAATGGACCAAAAATACATATTTAGCTTATCAACAGCCACTATATTAATCGAAAAATGACTTTCATTTTTTTTTTATCAACTGCATGCTAAAAATTGGCTTCAAACCTTTATTGTCATTTGGTTGGGTGCAGAATCTGATCAAACTCTTGACTACTGATAGAAATCAGATTGTACTGAGCAACCCTCTGATATTATTTTGCATAAAATTTGAACGTAGGCTCATTATTGGGTTCTCTGTGTATTTTCCTCAAATTGTAAAACTTGGTTCTTTACTTGTCCTATACAATACATAATCAAATAAATAGAAAATTCAAAAATTTATTATTTAAACATCTCTTTAACTTTTCTAAGAAAAAAAAAACACTGCTAAGCTTTTTATAATTTTTTATTTTTAGTCACGTTTATTTGGTCTAGCTGTTCCAAGATGCTATTCTATAAATGTATTTTGCTCATGATATGTTATTCATATAGCAGAATGCAGGCATATATCCTAAAACCTTGAAGGCTATAAAAAAAAATAAACTATTCAAGAGATTTAGTAGTTTTTAGAGGCACTCCCAAGGAATCAGGGAATAAATTATAACTGTACGCTAGGAAGTCTGTATTAGAACAAGAAAGAGCCTCTTCATTATTATATAATAACTGATAATTACTGTACACTTTTTAAGATTTTTATTATGTACTTTAATTTATAATTTAGAAATAATTCTGTTCATTGTTTAAATTTTGCTTGTCTAAACTTTAAATGAAATTTCCACTATTTTTATAACGACCTGAGTGTAAATTACAGGACGCGCAATTTCAGGTATGCTGGGAGGGTGGTGGTTCGGCGGTTCGCCATCATCGCCGGACAGCAACTTCCTGCGCGTCCACAACGCCTTCCCTCCGAACAGGCGTTTGTCTGACAACCAACTAATCGGTCCACCGAAAATCAGGATCGCGCCTAGTTGCGCGTCCTCCCCGGGAGGCACCCCCGGGGGCAGCGGAGGCCTCCCCATCCGGAGGCACTCTAGCATTGGACCTCAGGAGCGTCGTGGGTCTACCATGAACTTGTCACCGCCCACGGTACGTGTCTCTATCCAACACAAACACACTCCACTTTTTTCATTACAATTATACTCATTTCTATCCATTCAAGTAAAAATAAATTAGAGAGGTATATTCAATTATAGACGCTAAACTGGCAGAGCAAAATTGGCAAAGAGGATTAAATTCAAGCGCAGATCCACCTGAAACTTTTTTTCAATTTCACACATATGAAAATTAACATTTGGATCTGTGCTAGAAATTTGGCCTCAAATTATAAATTTTTATTGACAGATGATAAAAATCTATCAAAGGATCACATCAGCAAATTTTTTTTTTCGGAAGTTTAAAAGTCGATAAAATTTCTTGACTGACAAATTATAATTGCAATCGAAAAAATTCAGATTTCCTGCAAATGAATTGGAACCTTAAGGGAAGTTTGTTATGACCTCACAATATACAGTTGAAAAAACAATATTCTTGATTTTCAACTCTTAATGATGCTACTTGTTGATTGCAATTCCAATGATGTCGTTTTAATCTTATCGACTTTCACATTCAGGATTAAAAAAAAATTACTGGTGAGGATACAACGCTCTTCCTTCTGTGTTTCTCAGAGCTTTTTTCTATTCAAAAGTTGAAAATTAGATATAATTATTTTCTTGAATTTTTGATTATGCAATAAAATCAATCAAAACGAGTCATTCTTATTCTTTATAAATACACTCTCAAAAAATGCCAAAGTTTTCTCTTGTTTTCTCTGTTCATTTTGGCTCCTTACACCATTATATTAGTGGCACGTTTTTAGAATTATTCCTTTTTGGTCCTGCTTTTCCTCAGACTCGTCATCAATTATTTCAGAGGACTCTTGTGAGCCCTGTGTACATTTTGCTTCATGCAGGGGAGGCTCATCACATTTTCAGCACTACTAATGCGCCCGGGAGGCGGAATATTTGAGTTGCTTTAACTTTTCCCTAACTTTTCACTTTCTAAAGATAATCGAGTTTCAGCCGAACTGGAATTAAAAAGTTTGTGAAAGTGAGATACGTCTCTTTACAAAATTCGCTCCTAGACGCGTATTTCACTCGTTTAGATTGGGTTCCTTTTGAACGGATATAACTTTTGAACAAGTTCAAAAATTGCTTTTGATTACTTATCAGTTACAACGTTTTAAATTTTTAGGGGTTTTGAGCCTAATAAACAAAAACAAAATGCTTAATTTCCTTATGGAAATTATTTCTTAAAGTAAAGTCGTTGCTTCTAAAAATTATTACGTAGAAAGCTTCTCATCTGTCAAAGTAGAATCCGTTCAAAAAGACGCAGTTTTATTTTTATTTTTAGAAAAAATCCGCATCTGAGTTTTTAAAATCTCCAAAAAAGATTTTGTTTTCCATTCAACGCAGTAGTTATGTTTTGCTGGGAATAGAAATAATGAAATTTTTACAATTTTGAGCCCACCTTGCAAGAAAATTTAAAAAATTTGCTTGAAAATGCATGCAGTCGTCAAATTGGCCGACGGTTTGTTATTCTTGTTAGTGAGCATTTTACTCTAGTGAAATCCATTTATATTTTATATTACATTATCTGCTGTTTTCAAATTTGAGTTTGACTTTGGAAAGAACATATATCTCTAGTGGTTTAGCTGCATTTTGTCGCTTCTCTGACTAATCGTGTGTTTTACAGTGTTCTGCGATCTCAAACCGAATAAAAAACTCACTCAATTTATCCCACACTGCATTCTCTCAAGCAGAATTTTTAAATTCTGGCAGTGAACCAAGCCACTCTCATTGGATATACCTACGAAACCTCATTTTCTCAAAATATACCTTTTCACACATATATGCGAGAAGAAAAATAAATATAATCCCTTTAAAGCTGGTCTGTTTTGGTGATATCGGCTATTTTTATAGGCGTCTTCCTACCACTCTGTGGTTTCACGGGACGGCTCTAGAACTAGTTTAACCGTGCCCGCACCCTATGTAAGTCGCAAAACAGATTAACATTTTGTGATATATTGCTCATATCTCAGTATATCGTCTGCTGTCTCCTTCTCTCGTGTTTTCTCACTCCATATACTTTTCCTGACCAAAATAAATTATCAAGTCTCAGCCGCCGCGCGCGTTCATATAGTATGCAGAGAAGAGGTCGCTCGTTCAAATAATGTTATTTAACGTGTGCAAATTTTGGAATTGAATTTCTTCTTTGTTCTAACTTCAAAGGGAGAACGAAATTATCACTGGAATAATTCAAAGGGAAAACAGCGGAATTGCTCAAAACCACTGGCCCGAAAACCACAACCGCACCGTTACCATAAAATTATTATTATTCTATCTCTCTCTTTCGAGCACCCTCTTCCGTTTTGAATTTGAAAATTTCACACTTCTTCCAACACGTATAATACCACACTGCAGGGCTGACATGAGACTTTTTAATTTAGAGTGCAGCGTTCTCTCACACAAAACATACATAATCAAACAAACATTCCGTTTTTGTCTCACACTCTCTGCTCTATGCTTCTTCTGTCTCTGCGTGTTATACATGTCGCACAAAAACACAATGTAATAAAAAGACACACACTGACAGTAGCTTTGTGATAGCAAAAATCTCTTTGTCTGTCGCCTGCATGTCGTCCGTTGTTATGCCCATTTTGTTTTAATTCTTCTCTCATGGCCTCGCTCTGTCTTTTTCCGTTTGCTTTTGAAACTTTGGTATTTTTTCAGAGGACAAATACTTTTTGAATAAAAAAAATATTAATTTTGAAAAGAGAAAAAAATAACACACACAGACATTGAGAAATGCCAGAACTTCTTCCACTTGCGTGTCCACTTACTCATTTTATTTACACTGCTGTTCCTTTCTTCTCTCATAGGCCATTCATTCTTATACCATGTGTTGTGGCGTCTAAAAGCATCGCAGAAAACTCTCGTCGTTCGTTCCTTCATTGAAACTGACTGCTCGACTATTTCTCATGCCAAGCGCCGCTTTCCCAAAGGGAATTTCTCTTGCGAAAGCGACGCTTCCATCTCTTGAACGTACTGATCATTTTTATCAAAACCAATCGAATCGAGTCGTGACAAAACATTTCTCTTGATTTTATTTACTATAGATTTCTTCTAACCCTTAATAGAGTTCTGAAAACGTTTGGTATTTTTCACCCATTATTAGCGAGTCTAGTTGTAGCTAAATAAGGTTGACAAAAAAGATATTTTTTTAAGAACCAAAAGCGGAGATTTAATATATTTTGGATATTGCTTCCAAAGCTTTGATCGAATTTCACATTTGCATTATCAAGCCTTTTTATAATATCAAGTTACAAAAAAAATGTAATATAAATAAAAAAGAAAATCAGGAAAATGTCAAAATATTTTGTTATACTTGAACGCGTCACGCTCTTGAGCACCGCTTTTGCCTTTTCCATTGTTTTACTGCGAGAGAGTCCTTCAGTACTTTCAAGAGTGTAATCGATATTATTTTTGAATTGAAATTCTACTCTGCCGGCACTCGCGATCGAGTTTCGCCCCGGGACGAATTGCGCAAATTTTGCACACGCACGCAGTGTTTGTTCCCAACAAACACACTATGGCGGCTGATTGAATGGCCCTCGCGATTGCCGGCAAACAAACAACCACGATCAATTAATTCATTATCGAATAGCAGTAGAGCTGAAAGCTAACTGTGTCTCGCTTTTTGTGCTCCTCCTCTGTCGCTGGTTGTTATTTGCTGATCCTGGCTGGCAACCTCACTTGTGCGCGTCATTGTCGTGTTGCAGCTTGCACGGAGCATGATAGTAAGTACACCGATTGATTGCTACTTATAGCAGTTAATCCATTTTGATTGATCACTTGCCCACCGTCGATAGACTAGTTTATGTACCAGAAGGGCTGCTCGTTCCCACTCTTAGTTTATTCCGTGCATTACTTGTGGTGGCGCTCGAATGTAGCGTGAAACTGAATCTTTGGAATTGTTGCCTTTGCTTTCATAAAAGAATAAGGGAATAAGTATTAAATAAACAGGTCATTTTCTAATAGCGATTGCATCTAAAATATAGATAAATTATACTAGAATTAGGAATCACGTTTGATTCATAATTTATTAGTGTTAAAGAGGAATGTGTGTATTTTCTTAGACTTTCTTAAAAAAAGAAAATATAATTTTTTAGCCGTTTCAAAAGTTAGTGTGATTTTCAAATATATGTGTACAGTAGAAATAGGATATAATGCAAAATTAGCTTTAAAATTAATATTTGTTCAAGGCAGTTTAAGGAAGTCCTACTTACATTTTTCCTGTGAAGTTGGCCAAAATTTCAATTTCAAATAACAATATTTTTTAGCAAAAATATAATCATTCTAAAGGATTCTAACAATCACCATTTTTGCGGCCTATCTTGGGGCAAATCCTCTTTAAATGACCTAATTTTAACATTGGTGTTGAAGTTTCTTCAATTTTTGCATTTTTTGCCCTCAAAAATTATTTATGAAACCTAAATAAACTTATCACATGCAACTAATTATATATTTCTCTTATAAAAATAATCGTGCGAACGCCATACAAGTTTCAATCTAGAGTATTATATTTACATCTCTGTTTCGGAGCTTTTAAAAATTATTTAGTTTATAGCTCTACCTGAATCTATGAATTTTTATTTTAAAATAGTATCAAATATTTTTTGCACGGTTTGCCAAAATTTTGAGTCCTATAAAAAGTAGCTCAAATTTAAAGACTTTTGAAATCACTTCTAAACCATTTTTGAAGCTCGAATTTTAAATTATTCTTACTTTCAAATCTGCAGCCTTTCTAGGTATATTTTAATCTTAAAAAATTGCTTTAAAGTAAAAATATGATAAATTTGATTTTCTCTATAATTTTAATTTTTTCTACCAAAATCAGTAATTCATGAATAAAAATAAGAGCAAAATGCGAGTGTTTCTTAACGAGTGCTGGTGGTGTTTCAGGGCGGGTCGATGCCGAACACTTCTAGTAGCGTCCCTTTTTTGTTGTCGTCGAGCATGAGCTCGATCAGGTCCGGGGGCTCGCGGCGCACGTCCGCCTGCCTGGGCCTGTCAGGCTCGCCGGGGGCCTCCTCGGCGGGCCTGCTGCAGCAACTCGGATCCGGCATGGTAAGGACTTTGTCTTCCGCAGCCTCCTCAGCCTACAGTTACTCGCCATACTCCTCCCAGCACCACAGCCCGCGAGGCTCTTTTTCCTCTCAGGGTGGTGCCAGTAGTAATGTAAGCAGCTCATTTTCCTCTGCTCTCGCGCAGAAACTTAAGCACTGAAAAATCGACACCACGCTTTTTTTTTATTCATTTACTTCTTTTCTACCTCGGCGACTTTAATTTCGTAAGAATTTGATAGGATAGAACGCACTTCCAGGTACTTTGCTTCTAAAATTTGCACTTTTTTAGAAAGTCGAGCATGGAGATTTTGTTGATTTGTATATTTTTTTTCTTACTTAGTATTAAATTTCCATTTTTCTGCATTATTATGAGCATTCGAACTATGCTTTTCATTCAATTCAATCTTTTAAAATATGCATAAATATTTTTCTTTAGAGAAATTTGAGTACAGAAGTCATTTTGTTCCTAGTTCCTAGTGGTTTTTTTTAAATTGTGTGATATAGTTATTTGAAATTTAGCTAAATCCACAGCAAATTATTTGGAAGTAATTGAAGAAACTTATATTTTCAAAAAATTCAGTTTCTTATTTTTATTTTTTATTCTCGTGTGTGCATTTTTCGAATTTTTCAACACAGGTAAGCCTTAACTATGAGCATGCCAGTTTTCACTTTCTCACGTACATTCCAAATGCAACGTAGTGATGCAACCTGTTGTGCTGGTATGCTCAACAGGTTGCATAACTTTGATGTTTTGGATCGTGCTAATTTGTTCAGTGTGTGGATACGCTCAAAACCGACGAGCGCATAAATTTAGGCGACACACATTGCGTAATAAACGTTGCGGCAACTTGCTTGCTTGCTATGCAAATTTGCAAATTTGGCTGACAGTATGGTTTCGCTGCACAATTCTCTTGCAAAAATATTACCACGCTGAATCCGCTGAATGTAGATTTTGAAAATTTCCACCTAATGTGAAAACTTATCAAAAGAATACAAATCAAATTAAATAAGAGTAGTAACTTTTCGGAAATTAATTCAAACACAATTTCTTGAATTAAATTCTAGATTAAAGGATACCCTAAATCCAAAACGTTTCAAATTCAAATTTTTAAAATATGAATATGAGATTTTAAAAAGGGGGTTGATGTTTTACAAATCATTAGTTTTAATATAAGAAATTGAACGAAATTAATTGTTATCCAAACAAACTTTTAATTCAAAAAATATTTACAGATCAAATTCGTTAAAATGCATTAAAAATATTTTGCGCTGTTTAATTAAATTTGCGAATGCTTGACTCTTACCAACAAATTTTGATTTCTTAACTCTTTCCTTTTACAGTATCAATTGTTCTCGGGAAAATCATAGGCCGGCGCGAGCAGAGGCTGAATCGAATCCACGCCTGCAGACTGGTCGGCCAATTTTTGTGTACTCATCAGCCAACAACTGCTGCACCCTCAGACGGTTTGCGTCGTTTTTTGTTTGAATTGTTTCCGCAGCAACAGCAGTGTAACGCAGCAATACTCCCATGAAAGAAAATCCAATATTCAATACTCGTCTCTGCTGAACTTCTCATTATATGAAAAATAATCATTCAAAGTTAAAACTGGGCAGAAAAGGTTGTATTTAAAATCTGCTCGTTTAAAGTGAAAAATCCGTAGCAATACACTTTTCTGAAAGTATATAAAACAGAACTCACCCCCAGAAAGAAAAGCAATTTATGCCGATTATAGTTACATAGAAATGGGAGAACCACACTACACTACTTTCAATTACTAGTCTTGCTATCTCTTGTGAAATTAAAAAAAAAAATACTCTTGTATATTTCTGTAGCAAACATTTCATCTCCAGGAAAAAACAATTAAGAAAGACACAAAAACGAAAGCCTGTACCATGCATGAAAATCAAAATATTGAGCGGCGACAAGCGCGAATTTAAAGTAAGACTTTTAAACCGAGCCCAGAGTCGCGCGTGCCATTTGAGGAAATAAATTTTGTTCTCGTACTGCCACTGATTGTATACTGGGTGTGACTGATATTTAAGGAAGCGTGTGAACGCGTTTTCGAACCGACCTATGACCTGACACTGATGTTAAAAGTCCTTTTCTGAATTAATTTCAAAAAAAAAAAAGTTATGAGGCATTTTATGATTTGCGGAATAGTTGAAGAAGTTGTATAGAAAGTAATAAACGTTTTCTTAAAAATTAAGTGTACTCGTTACCTTCTGCGGATGACTAAAATTTCTGACCATCCAAAATTAATCACTTTCTGCAACTCACGAATATTTTTATAATGCAACACGTGACGTGCGCCTGTGAATAGTTTCTAGTAAATGTGTCCTTGTGTGTCCTCTTGATTATGCAAATAATTGATGATCTAATCTAAATATAAACGGCACCTATTTGTGTATGATCGTGTCCTCAAAAGAATTTCAAAAAAGAAACAAGCATTCTGTGATCTCGCTCATCTCTAAAACGATCCCACTTTCTTAAATGTTCTCTGGACATAAATTGAAAACAAATTGAGTTTTTTTTAAACTTCATTATTTTTAAGTTTCAATACATTGTATTTAATAATTCTGAACTTTTTTTTTTTAATAAAAAAATCTTGATTGGTCTTGAAACTTCCTAACTTGTGATCAACAACAAAAATACGCTCTCACTTATTATAATATGCAACTTAATAAATAAAATCCTACTTCAATTAATCATCGTCTGCATTGGTCTGCGGTCTGCATCTGCAATACAATTAAAAATAATAATCTCTAAAAAAATATTTCAGGTTCACTTTTGTAACTAATCACTCGCACGGACAAAAACTAATAAGAAACTTCTAAACTTTCCACTTTTCTGAATAAAAAAATCCTGTTATTACTGTAATTTGTATTTCATGCATGGTTGTTTCATCAAGATGTGAATTTTTTTACTTTTTATGAGAAGGGTCAGATTGATCAGTTTTTGAAATCAGTGCTTTTTTTAGGAATTGTCACAGACGCGCGTTTGATCAATATTTTTGATAAATATCGGTGAATATTAGGATAAAAGTTTTCTGTCCGACATTCGACCAAAACTGTTGTAAAAAAACTAAGTTATTCTCGTGAGTGTTCATTGGCTTAACGCGGCGTTGAAAAGTTCATAGATAATAATCTTAAGCGGGATTATGGAAATACGTGAAATTAAATATTTAATGCGTCATTATATGTAATATTTACCACACGCAGATGAGAGACTTGTTTATTGTTAACCCCGTGGAGGAGACTAAATATATGAAAAACTTGTGAGGACTGTGTAGAAAAGAAGTGGAGGAAGAAGAAGAGCTTACCTATTTGAATGATTGATCAATGATCGCAATCTTTTGTCGCGACGAGCCCATGCAATTGCTGCAGGAGCCCATCATCGTTTATTTTGTTTATTGAGAGACACGGTTCACTCTGTTTTGATTTGAACAAATAAAATGTGAAATTTGCTGAAACTTGCTGTGTTATATCCAGATAAAGAAAATATTACAAATTAATACAGAATCAGAGAGGAATAATGTGCAACAGCAATCAGCATCAGATATGTGGCTCTAATTAATAAATATACAAAGACTTAAACATATCTATTATTTTATTTACAATTTTTTTCTGGAAAAATGGGGAACTAGTATAAATAACATTAAAAGTCAGCATTATTTGATGGAGTAAAACAAATAAAATAAAATAGTGGGACCTTGCTTTGCTTGAACTTTACATCAGCTAATTAATTCCTGGGTCTTACATTTTATGCTGCGTGCAATACCCAAGAAAAAATTAAATTCAAGATATTATAATTATAATATAATTAAGTTTTTTGGTGTAGTAGTGCAACACAGAAAAAAGAATGTAAATTATAGAAAATAAAAGAAGTTTCACGCTCCTCAATGACCAGTCACTGAAGAACCAAGATTTAAAGGACCCCTGGGAGTGGCACTAGGCACTACCCCTCTACCACCGAGAGCAAAGCAAGGACCATGGACCAAGCCATGGACCAAGAAGCCATGGACCATGGAGTGAATCAAAAGTTACCGACTTAAGCACCTTCGCGCCGGTGGCGCTACGCTCGCTCCATTCCACTGCCTCCGCCCCTTCTTCAGGCGTGAAAGTAAACAAGTCTGGAATGTCTGTTTTTTTAACAATAAATTTGCGTAATTTCAATTTTCATGGATGGTTGTCTTTGATATAAATAATTTGCGAATCTTCAGGTGTCACGCTCATCTTACCTGCAACATCAATAATTAAATGCCACTCACAAATTTTGAGCTAATTCGTCCCCTCCCGCGCTGAAAGGCAGAGGCTAAAAATAGGTCTGTTCACTTTAGTCGCTTTTTATTATAGAATTTTTGGCCAGACAGCGGTGATGTCGGTGCGAGAACGCCTAGAGCAGGATTTTTTTCGCGTCTCTCGCATAAGAGTTACGAAAATAATCACTCATTTTTATTGATACATATATAATCGCAAAAAGTCGCCATGACCTCGGGTCAACCTCCGCCAAATCTTGACGGTTCAAACTCTTACTCTAACACGTTGATAATTTATTTAAATGTTTGCAAACAACTTCTATGATTATGCAGATATGTGCGATGAACCAGCCGAAATTGAAGGATGGCTTCGGCAACAGGTCTTGGGCAGCGGCGCCTTTGGGGTGGTCACCCTTTGGAAAAACAGGGAGACTGGAGAACAAATCGGTAAAATCTGTTCGTTTGCATTTTTTTAGCCTTGCTGATTGAAATTTTTGAAGCCGTGAAAAAATGCCGCTGGGTGGACGACCCGGCTCTTACCCCAAAGCACAAAGAGAGGTGGACGAAGGAAGTGGAAATCATGCAGCGCCTTCGCCACCCTGGCGTGGTCAAAGCCCTCACCGTCCCTCCTGAGCTGGAGCGAGAGCTCAGGGTAGAATTGCCTCTCCTGTGCATGGAGTATTGCTCTAAGGGTGATCTTCGACAGGTGTGAATAAAATTTTGTTTTCAAGTGGATATGTGTTAAAAAAAATAGCAAGTTCAATTCTATTTAATTTTTTTACTTGACTGTGAGATTAAATTTTGATTTGTCATCCAGGTACTGAACATGTCTGAGAACTGCTGCGGCCTCAGCGAGGTTGAGGTCAGGTCTATAGTAAAGGACATAGCAAGCGCTGTGGGATATTTGCACTCAAACAAAATTACTCATCGCGATCTTAAGCCGGATAATATTGTTCTCCAAGAGGGAGAAAATAATCAAGTGAATATTTGTTAAAAAAAAAATGAATCGTATTAAAACTCTTTCAATTCAGATAAGTTACAAACTGATCGATTTGGGATATGCCAAAGAGCTGGACCAGAGCAGTATGGCTGCCTCTTTTGTAGGGACTCTGCAATATTTGGCCCCTGAACTCTTTCTAAACACCAAGTAAATGAAATTTTATTTCTCAATTAAAAGTTAAAATGCATTAAAAATTGATTTTAATTACAGGTACAGCTGCACAGTTGATTACTGGAGTTTAGGTTTATTGACTCATGAAATAATCACTGGGGTGCGTCCATTTTTGCCGCAAATGTCCCCAGTTGCTTGGTAAATTTTGTTTCTAGCCTATTGTAATTTTAGATTGATTGATTATCTTTGATTTCACCAGGATGACCCATGTGCAGAAAAAGGCTAGGGATGATATTTGTGCCTTCCAGACTGAGGACGGAAGTATCGTCTTCAGCAAAGAGCTCTACTCTGAGAATCACATTTCATCGTGAGAGAATAATTAACTTTTGCATTTGTATAAATTATTAAAATAAGAAACTTGCAGCACATTCCAGTATCACATGGAAAGGTGGTTGAGGATTCTTTTGGACTGGGACCCGAAAAGACGAGGACGTCAGTCGGCAGACACCGAACTGCTTGTTTTCACGATGCTGGGCTCCATTTTGACCAAAAAAGCAAGTTTTATATAATTTCTACTCCTCATGACTGACGTTTAAAGATTTGTTTATAGATTGTGCCCGTTTTTTGTGTACCTGAGTGCCGAGTACTGAGTTACGAGGTGGACGGAACTACAGAACTGGCCACTTTGCAACAGTGGATTGCCAGGGACACTGGTCTAGCTGTAAAAGACCAAGAACTTCTGTTCCCAAGAGGAACTACTCCTGATCCGTCTTTGTCTGCTGACCAGTGTTGCCTTCATAATGTAATTAACTTGAAAAGCTTTTTTTGTGTCATAAGAGTAAAAACATATTCGTATCAGGATGGGACAATTTGGTTCTTGTATGTGCTGCAGAAAGGAAGACTTGAGTTGCCTCAGGTGAAGCCAAACATTCCCACTCTGGTGGGTCAAATGGTCTCCGACATCAAGAGTGTCTTCGAGTACCAGTTTCAGCGGAGATCCTGGGCGCATGCCGTCTTTTTCCTGCAGCAAGAGGCCAGTTTGTACTGCAATTTCCTGCGTGCTCACCGAGCTAAGATGTAAAAAATAATTATTTGAATTTATTGCAAACTGAATTGTGGAATCCAGGTTGTCTGTCTTGAGCAAAACCTGCGAGCTTGGGAAACTTGTGCAGCGAGTTCAACAGGAAAAACAGAGATTAAGTTCATTGAAGGATTTGTTTACTGCATCTCTAGAATTTGATCTATCCAAAGTTTCAGAGCTTAAAAGCTCTAATTTAGAAAGTAAGTAATTAAAACTTATAGTGTTTCTTGATTTAAAGTTTTGGTTTTCTCAGAAATATCTGGAGTTTGGTCCGAGTCGAAAACACAGTTATTGAATAAAATCATGACTGTGGACGAAAGACTCTCACAACTAGAAATTGAGGCAGAGGCCATTGGAGGCCTGGCCCTGCAACTCCAAAGAAGTCCTTTTGCTCGAATCAGGATTTCGTCTAATTTAGACAGCTTGTAAGTATTCAAATTCCAGGCCAGGCAATATATTTTTTTAAAATTATAGAGCTGAAGCTGGCCAAAACTGCTATGAAGCTCTGAAACGGAGAAACAAAGAGCAGCGGAAAGTTCTGCAGAACAACAGTGAAATGGCCAGGGTAGTTTACAACTGCCTGAAACACAGGGACAAGCTGTTGCACGACGAGCCCTTTTCTCAACACCTGAAGTAAAAGTTAAAAATAACTTAGATTTGTTTTACAGATGTATTTTTTATTTAGGCAATTAATAGAGTGTCAGACTGGGACTGACAAGGTCACAGCTCCGATGGAAAGTTGCCTTTTGGAAATTGCCAGGCTGCAGGAAGAAATCACCAAGTCCCAGTTGCAACGACAAGAGGACATTTGGCTCTCGGCTGTAAACTCTTAACACTTTTTAATTTTGAAAAAATTATATTCCGTTTCTCAAGGTGCATGGTCATATTCCGCCCACTGTTCCGAGTCGAGGTGCCTTCCCAAAACAAGCAGAAGCCGTCCAAAAACAACACTCAAAGGCTGAGAGTCCACCTTCCGACCCTTGTCAATGCAAAAGTGTTGGTGTCGCCGGTCAAAATCCACCACAAGATCAGTCTGCTGATGTCATAAAAGAAAATCAAGAACTAAGATACTTGTAATTATCTTTTAGTTTTTCTTCGAAATTATTGATTTTTTTCTGCAGGACCCAAGAACTCATGAACAAGGGGTATGGATTGTACAGAGATGTGCTTGGTTTGGATCTGGACGAATTTCTCAACTCATTAGACAAGGAAAAGACTACGGAATAATAACAAACCCTCAACTACTGTGCCTAATTTGCATATCTAGCTCTAGTCATGTATTCCCTCTGTGTTATGCAAGAGCATTTTAATCATTAATGGTATTTAAATCGACATGACAATAACTTCGCTTTTAACCTGTTGTGTATTTTGTTACCGTTTGTACATTGATTACCCATTTTGTACTCATTTGCTGTGAATAAAATTTACTAACCTCTCTATCAAAAATATTACTATGTATTATGCTATTATAAAATTTTGAAGTTTTAAAATTGGTAATAAAGAAATATTTACCCTGATTTACCCAAATTTTCTTTTCCATTATTACTTTTGATCGCACAAGTTAATGTTGTGGTTTTGCCGGGGTTAACATAATAGTTCCAAAATGTTAATTTCGTTAATTTTATGAGAGCCATAAAAATATATATATATATGATATATATGTCGTATGTCTCTAAAAATCACTACAGATTTAGATCTTAGAATTTTTTTTACTTTTTTTTTTTCATAAATTTGATTTTGTTAAAAAAATTTCAATCTTTTGTGATTTTATTAATATAAATTGCCTGTACAATAATTTCAATTTTAATAAAAATTATTAAAAATTCTTGTATTAATCGCTTTTGCGTACACAATAATATTATATATAACACTAATTTGGCGCTCTTCCACTACGTTTTGCTCCGGCACGTTGGCAGCCAGGACTCTATATTGGCAGCATTGGAATGGAAACAGCTGCACGTGCCGGCCTCGAAGTCAAACCACGCAGACCCACGGAGAGAGCCGTTATTTTTATTGCATTTTTGCAATCAAAATAGTTTTTCGCTCAATTGTGCTCTAGGTAAACATTGTTAATCGTTTTATCTCGAGTTTTTGCAGAGGTTAAATCAAAGAAAGACAGAAATTTGGGACGGAAAATTAGAAAACTGCTTATGAATTTCTGGTTGAATCGACGGGTAAAGGGTTTGCTGAGTGAATGTGTTTATCTTTTGCAAACGTCGTTTATTTTATCTTCTCCCTAAACCGTCTGAAATATGTAAATAATATCATTTTGCTTCTTTCACACGCATACAATTCCCTTGTTTTTAAAATATTGCCGAGTTCCGTGCATCGCAAATCAGAGCAGATTTTTATTGTTCTCTGCTTCAGCGTTTCGATTTGATAATATTTTTACTATTTTTTTTTCTAATAAGAATTCATTTAAAAAATTTCAGATTCAAATTATTTTAATTTCCATAATTTTTAAATATTTACAGTGCGCTAAAGTTAAATTAAAAAAAAAAACTTTTTACAAAATTTTAGGTTCTAAACAAAGGAATCATGCCGGCAAAGAAGAGAGGCACCAGTTTCAGGTCTGCAGAGCCACCGACGATAAGGAAAAGACCTCGAAGTAAGGCTGATGAACTACTTTAATGCTTGCTTTTGTTCCCTTAGTGTTGTTTGTTGTTAAAACTTTTCAGAATTTGTTTACATTTAAATTGCATAAATTATTCTGCTTGAGATGCTTGGGGATTCAGTGATCGTAAATTGCACGAATATATAATTTGCCTTTGCCTGCACACTTGGCTTGCACACTGCTTTTCGCCATTACAGGGCACTTCCTTTTGAGTAGGTCTGTTTATTTCCTTGAAATTCGTCCAACAGTCTCATCACACAGAGTCTTTGCAGGGTCCTCTGTGCAGCCGGATGTGGAGGCAAAGGTGCGAAAACTTTCTGACCGCCCCCGTTCTCCAGCCACCTTCAAGTTGGAGCCGCTGCTGTTGCCTCTGGAGCAGCGAGAGACTGGCCAGGTATACAAAATTCAACAAATATTTTGACCATATACAATTATAGATTGCCATGAAATTCCATAACCACTTAACTATCATTCATCATTCATTGCCATAATTTATCAAAATTTTCTAAATAAGTTACTGATTATCATGACAGTATCGAACTTCACTTACAAGTTTCATAAATGAGCTGCCAAAACAAATATCCATTATTATGACATTCTTTAATTAATTAATTACTTATCGTACATGATTTATTATTTTATAATTTTATACTATTATTAACTACTGACTATCTATCGAGGCAATTGTAGGAAATTGATTGATATTTAATCTCTTTCTCTAATAGGTATAGTAGAAATAGGCACATAACACTTGGAATTTTAGTAAACTTTCTATGTTACACAGGTTTTTACCTTGGGCGATAACATGACAGGCCAGCTCGGCTTTGACGACGATGTTGAGAGCAAGAGGAGACCGGTCCCTGTTGAGGGCCTTGTAGACGCCGTTGCTGTTTGCTGCGGAGGAATGCACACCGTGGTCCTCAACAAAAATGGAGAGGTACACAAGTGCTTCACGCCAGCATTTTTTATTTATTTATTTTTTTCATTTTTATCCGGCTTTTAATCATTCAATTCTATAAAACCTAATACTGAAGTTTTCACCAGTTGTATTTTATTTTTCTCAGAGCTTTTTAGTTTCATTTAATTTGTAACCACAATTTACTTATAAATCAAATAAGAAATGCTATAATTTTTAAAGGTTGACTGAAATTTTAAACCAGAGTGTGGTTATAAAGTAAATTTTCCTTTACCAGGTTGTGACATTTGGCTGCAATGATGATGGTGCCCTTGGCCGGAAAACTGGCGATGGTTTTGATCCAGAGTACAAACCTAGCAAAATCAATCTGCCTGGCAAGGCAATCCAAGTGACAGCCGGGGATTCGCACACGGCCATCCTGCTGGAGGACGGGCGTGTCTTTGCCTGTGGTAGTTTCAGGGTTAGTTGTTATTAATTTATCAATTTTGAGCATTCTCCAAGTACCAATTTGATTTTACAGGACAGTTCAGGTCTACTGGGCCTGACTTTGAGCGGCAATGTCAAGGAGGAGACGCCGGTGGAGATTTTCAGGGGCCAGGAAATCGTCAAGATCAGTTCTGGCGACGATCACATAGTCATGCTGAGCGTGTCGGGTACTGTCTTCACCATTGGAAACGGCGAACAGGGCCAGCTTGGACGTGTGCCTGAACGCACGGCCACCAACAAGGACAGTCGCCACCACAAGCAGCAGCTGTTAGCGCCCATGCCTGTCAACCTGCACGCCCACAGAAGAGCCTCAACCAAGATTAAGTGCTCTGAAATCTGGACTGGCTCGTGGAACACAATGTGCCAGAGCGAGGCAGACGGGAAAATTTACGTCTTTGGCCTAAACAATTACAATCATATTGGTAATTTTTTTTCTCTAATTACTCACAAGGTTCCTTTTTTGATTCAATTTTAGGGCTGACTGAGATTAACAACCCCCAGTTTTTGCCGGTCTTGTCTGAAGTGATGAGTTCAAAAAAATGGAAAAAGATAGCCGGAGGGCAGCACCACACCCTTTGTTTGGACGAAGAAGGTCATTAAAGTTATTGAAATATTTAGATAGCCGTTGTCCAGGTGTTTGCAATCTTACTTTGGAGTTAAAATTTAAATTTTTTGAGTAAAATGAGAGTCAAATTTATTTTCTACCTTATCGGAATAAAATGTATGATTTTCAATAGGAATATCATCTGTTAATGTACTTTTGTGAAGAAGACTTAAAACTTGAGTTTAAAAGAGTGATATAACAATCCATCAAATTTGCTATTGTTTTATAACTAAAATTATTGTTTCAGGCAAAGTTTACAGTTTTGGACGACACGACTACGGCCGCCTTGGTCTGGGTAAGATAGAAGACACGGTGAAGGAACCAACCCTGGTAGGGGCTTTAGCTGGCGTCAAGTGTGTGGACATTGTCAGTGGGAACACAACTTCGTATGCCATCGCCGAAGGAGGCAAGGTTTACTCTTGGGGCATGGGCAGCACCCAGTTGGGAATCGGTGGCGAGGAGCCTGACGATGTTGACGAACCGCAGCTAATGCAAGGCAAAGCCCTGGAGAAACGTTTTGTGCTTAGTGTGGCCGCGGGTGGGCAGCACACTGCCCTGGCCGCACGCGACCTTCCAGACAACCCTGCTTAAATTAACATTGATTATGTCCGAGTGCCTTTGATTGAAAATTATGACTAAAAGGAAAAAAATCATTATTTCCCATTTGTAAGGAATACTTTCAATGTATAGAAACATAATTGAACTTCTGCCTTTTGAAAATTGTTTGTCACTTATAAAACTTAATTACACATTAGCCGTATTGAAAATTGCATGTCCTATTGGTTATAAGCTTGTTAAAGTTGGCTAAAGCTGTTCTTCGGCATGGGTTATCAGTAAACGAACCAACACTAGTAATTCAAAAATTAAAATTCTATTGTTTTATTTTAAATTAAATACCCTATGGCCATTATAATTATATTCAATTCTATAATTGTTAAGTGGTCTTTCAGAATTTAACTGTAGTGTGTGTCCGGTTCACACTAAGACAATTTCTAATTTAAAGTTAATTGAAGTTTTGAAAATTAATTTGTTAATATTGTACTTTGAATTCAGAGTCCCTAATTTAATTCACCCAAATTGAGGAGACGCTTTCAGAGATGAAAGTTATATATAATAATTAAAATTATCACTGTTAATCAATAAAATGACTAAATTCTCTAATTATTTAGAGATTTTTATTTTATATTATAGTTTAGAATGAAAAATGAAAATTATTTTGCGTGCAGGTGAATATAATGAATTTTTAAATGTAAAATATCAGTGCAAATAATCCAACGTCAAATTTTCTAGTTAATTTTGCAAGCCTTAATATAAACCCTCTGATTAATCAATAATTTACAACTGCAGAACCCATTGGACAAGTACGTGGTAATGATTTTTTAGCCTAATAAAGGTTTTTAAAATATATGGCATTCGCCAACGGACCACACAGATTTTGGAAAATTTGGATGCAGCTCCACTAGTAATTTTAGCCACTCACAATATTGGAGAAGTTCTATCTTCTTCCAATTAATAACTCCTTCAGCAATTCATTCTCCTCCATTAATTTTCCGGAGCTTTAAAGTAATTACCTTAAATTGCCCGTGTGGTTTATTTGTCGAGAGTGACCGCACGCTGTAAATCTCAACATGCGTCTACTTCAGGATATGGGCAAGTGGTCGGAAAATTTTAGACATTTTTCCATATTTTTCTTTAATTATTCAGTGCTCTTCTTGAAAACTTGTAGCCTAAATGCTTTTAACTTCAGTGAACAACAATCGAAGGCGGCTTGAAACTCGAATATGTATAACTTTTATACAAAATAAAAATTTAAAAAGTATTAATTTACTGTCATAATTCAATTTTTTCTCTCTGGCTTCTTAAAACGCATATATGGCACGAGGCACGACAACTTTTTATCACTCGGTTAAATTGGGTGAAATACAATTGATACAATTAAGGCATAGATATATAGAAACTCGGACATATTATACTTTGCTTTAAAGTTTGAAGCCGTCTGATATATTATCTCTGAGACTGAAAGTGACGAAATATGACGACAACGAGTGAACATATAATGCATATAATATCCTATAATATTATAATATTCTCTTGTTTCTACTTTAATTGGATAATGATCCGACCATAAATTCCCCCGACCACTGAGAGCATGCTCTCTGCATGCGCATTTTGCGAGATTTTACCAAAAAATTAATAATGAAAGTGACAGATATGGATTATTTTTCTCTTCATTAATTAATTTCGTATCAATTCTTACCAAAATCAAAATACCATATGTGCGAGGGTTGTGTTTGTTTCGATCATCTTTTTGTGTGCACTTTGCAGATGGCAGCAGGCAGCATTGACCGGCGAAGCGAAGGAATAAGAAGGAAATTAAAAAACAATTAAAAAATGTAAATAATGTACCATTGATGAGGAGAGGAATTTCCAGATCACCCCCACCCCCTCCTTTGATCAGTTGGATGTATTCGGTTTGTTCGTTTGTCATTGGTCGATCTAAAGATCCTTTGGAGGGCTCGCGGCTCGCCCATCAAAAACTTTGTTTTGATTTTTGATCACAGAAGACCAGCAGGCAACACAAGGATCTTTTATGTAAATGAAAGATCCTTGAGGCAACAGGTCTCTGGTTTTGGTAAAGCAAAATTTTAGCAGTTGTGCTGGGCGTAGCAGTGGATTTTTTGCTCCTGTAATTCCAAAACATCATTTTTAGGCTCACCTGCTTGTATATTACACGTTGTAAAAATTTTTGCTCCACAAACGGCCGAATAATTCAGTGGATAATAGTTTTAATGATTTTTCAATTTACAAGTATTTTTCCTTACCTCCAGAGACTCCAGAGCAGAACATGGACTATCAAGTTGACTGTGAAGTCATGGATGATTCTTCAATAGTTGTTTTGTCCAGCAGCAGTGACGACGAAGACAACGAGCCTCCTGCTATCTTAACAAGTTATAAAGCTGGAAGCTCCACTCCAGGTGTGATAAACATTAACCCTCAAGAGGCCGTGGTCCGTCTGGTCAACAAATGGAAGGAAAAGGTCAAGGTCAATCTACAATTCTTCCTGTCATCTTCAAATGACACGGCCTTGCCTGTCGTCAAAGACAAAGTCATTCATCTCGCGACAACGACCATGAAAAATGCCATCATCCATGTTGACAGAACACAGTAAGTTTTTTATTTATATGTATGTATAAAAAAAACATAATTTTTAGTTTGCATATCCAGTTTTGCAATTTATTTGGGAAAATTAGTTTTGTAAAGCGTGTACTCTCTCTTAATTAATTTGTAATCATAATCGTCTTCTTAAGAATGTATATTAAATCTGTTATATGGTTTACTTTTTTAATTTTAGTTTTGAGTTAAAGCCAGGAGTAGTTATGGATGTAGCTGTGACTTTTGAAATGAGGCCAAGCTGTAAGCAAGAAATTATCGGAGTGCTCATGAAGGCCACACCTATGGAAAATGGCACCATCAAGAGTCTTCGGGACAAAAAAATTGTTACCTTCAACATTCTCACTATGGAGGTTTGCTGCATTTATCAGCAAAATAATTTTTGTATATTATTTTCTTCATTTCTATTATAAAAGGTCAATCCAGATTGTGATGTAAGACTTGAACCTTGTACCCTCAGTGTCCCAAAGGCACACACAGATACAGACTTTGTTGTTCTGTTCTTTGTCATAAAGGTTAGTCGATTTAATTTTCTGAAATTTTTTAAAAACATTTTGTAACAGATTGATGCTCAAAAGTTAGCTGTGGCTTGCAACAAAGAAGTTCCATTTCAGGAACTTGTTGATGAGTACAAAAGCAATTTTCCAGCCACAAACAAAACATACAAATTGAAATTCACCAACATGAGGACAAGGCAGAGCTGCCATGCAAATCAAACTCCTTCCTCGGTAAGCATAATTATTATGTGTAAGCAAAAATTGCACAATCCAAACAATTTTCCCATGTGTGTTCTTAGATTGGTTTGGGGCATCAAGACCACGTCTTCGTCAACCTCTGCAAATGCACATTCTAAAAGCAAGTGAGAAATGAATCTGCATATGTTTATAGTTCTCAAGTTGATTTAAAAGAACTATAAATTAATCTGTATAAAAACAGCGTTTCTTTTGTTGTGATATTGTGCTAAAATTTAAACTGCTGCAACATAAGCTTAAAATTAAATGATTCCTATAGATTATTTTTTTGCCTTAATTTTTTCTGAGTGTACAAAGAGACGCTCTCATGCATATAATTCACCAAAGTTTGAGTAACATAATTTTAGAAAAGCTGGTTGAACTAGCTATACAAAACAATTTGTTTCTGATTTTTTGCTATTCATGCAATTTTTATGATAATAATTTAGACCAACAGACACTAATTGCAAGCTCATGAACAGATGTACAAATAAGTCTGGAACGTTCCAGACTTATTACCTAATTAATTACGGTAAGGTACCTAATTAATTAAACCACAATTGCATTTAATTATTTTGTGATTAAAATATATTCCAATATTACTCAAGCATAGAAACTGAAAATTTCTTTTCTTCTCTCAATGCATTTTACAAAATATAGATTTTATGTACAAAAAAGTGAATCACTTTTTTGTCTCTTTATGATTCCGCGCTTTCACGGCCTGGGTGCTGTAGAGCAATGTCTGTGTCATGCGCCTTTGCTACCCTGCTATCGACCGTCGCATCCCCCATTCCTCCCCTTCATGCAGCAGCCAGTCCATGCTCGAATCCAGATCAAAACAAAATATATAAATCAATAGTTTCTTTTCGTCTGTGCCGTGCTGCTCGGCTCCTCTCAAACCTTCAATTACACAAAAACTTGGCAAGGTACTAATTCTGTGAAGAAAGATTTGTCCACATTTGGGTGAGCGTATTGCAGCCTTATGTGATTGGAAAATCATCATCAGCATCATTGTAGGCTGCCCTGGAAAATCGCGAATCGGTGGAAAAGTGGGTGCCGAGGTGCTCCGACTTTTCCCAACCACCATGGCCGTCGCTGGAAATTTCTTGGCTCGAATATTGAAAGTGTCTAGATGAAGACATAGGAGGAACCAAGCTCCATAATGTCTACCATTGGTTGTTCTTGATCCGCAGGATGCTGTTCTCTCAATCAGGTGAGCCAAAATTGAAAGCGGAGGCTGTGCGTTACTAAAAAAAAAAACACTTTCACCCGTCAATTAGCGCACCACTTGACATTTTGTTGCTCTAATTGTTACACAGTGGTCCAATTAATAAGATAATGATAGAGAGCTTGAAGTAAAAATAATGCAAATACTCTAAAACCATGTTTAATACTGAAGTTTTTCTAACATTTATTTTCAGATATTTCATGGCATGCTACTAAATTATACAGCTAAAATCATAAGAAACACAGATTTTAAATCTATAAATCATCCCCAAAAACTCCATAATTCCTCAAAAATTAAAGCAACCCTGCGAATGCTTCTGGGAAATTTCTCTTCGTCTGAAATATGGTAATTTAACATTAAGTAATAAAAGCATCCTTTAAATAAAGTTCAAATTGACTTCCTATTATCTAAATATTCTTAATCATTTTTAGGAAGAAAAATGCTTTTGAAATCAACAGAAAATTCAGAGCTAGAGGATATTTTTAAGCTCTGCGGGAGTCTGCTTAAATCCATCTTATTGATATGTAAGTGGAGCGCAAACTGTTTGAGCCAACGCTTGCCATGGGCAGTGCCTCTTCCAAGTTTAAGAAATACCTTCAGCATGGAGATGAGTATGCTGCCATGCAGGTTAGAATTTTTAGTAAAAAAAAATAATATATAAATAATCTGACTAATTGTTTAACTGTAACTTCAGGTATTCCAAAGCTCACCTGAGCTGAGGAAACACCTGGACCCAAATCTCAGTTACGGAGACAATCACCAACACAACACGGCCCTTCACTACGCTTCCAAACATGGGATGAAACACTTGCTTAGGTATTTTGCTAATTTTTAATGATAATTAATATTGTATAAAATTTATATATTTCACAGAACGTTCCTCAACGATTTAGGAGGCAACCCTAACAAGAAAAACAGCAGTAATGAAACATCTCTGCACATGGCCTGCAACCTTGCCCAGCAGAAATCTCTTTCCGCGCAAGAGAGACGTGCCGCCTGCGTCTCCCTTCTGCTGCAGTGGCGTGGGGTACCCCTACCTTCTGGAGATAAAGAAAAAATGGCAATTGATTCTGTTGATCACGTAAGAGTTTTATTTTGATGATTTAGCAATTACTCTGAATTATTTTTATTATAGCAAGGAAACACGGCACTCCACTGTGCTGCTCAGTCTGGCCTGCAGAGGTGCGTCGAGATTTTGGTGGCGGCCAGTGCTCCCCTGTTTTTCGAGAACATTGATAAATTGACCCCTTGTGACCTAGCCATGCAATTCGGCCACCATGAAATAGCTCAATTTCTGGAGACTAAAATGGTTTTTGTGAGTCCAATTTATTAATGAAAAAATCTTTTTGTGACTTATTTTTATGTAGACTGATAATAGCGACACAGTCAACGAAGATGAAGTGCTAAGGAGCAAGGGGTTAAAAGGGTTAAAAACTAGTGAAGAAGAAACCAACGACCAGCAAAGCGAGGAAAATGAAGAGGAAGAGGATGAAGTTTACACTGGTTTGCGGACGCAGGACTTGCAGGAAGCAAAAGATCAGCTTTTGGTTGAAACTGCGGATATGCTGCACATCCCTCTTTTTACCGCAGAGGCACTGCTGAGGGACAATGGTATAATTTTTTTATTAAATTTACTTTTAACTCTATATAAAAGATTAACATTTTTTTTAAATGAATTTATTTAAAATAATAGATTAATAAGAAAAAGAAATAACTATTATTTTTTGGATGTCATTCGGAGGATTTTTTTAACTCTAGTAAATCCGTTTTTTATAATTATTTTTTTAATTGTAAAAACTCTAAGAATCAAATTATCTCCCAATGAAACTTTTCACTCTCCAACTTGACAAAGTGGATACTTTATGCTGCAATATGTAGTTAATGTTCCAATTAATTGTATTTTACTTAGAATGGTCAAGGGAGGCTCTGTTGGAGAAGTGGATGAAGGAGCCTGTTTTATGCTGCCAATTAGCTGGCGTTCAGCCACCTCCTTCGGCGCTCGAGCACTCAAGTCTTGTTCCAGCTGCCGATGATGCTGCCCTAGGCTCACCTCCAGTTGTCCCTTCACCAATTAGGAAAAGAGAACGCATGCCCCTACCTTCAGAGGCGGATTTTGTGGTATTATTTCATTTTGTAAAAAGAAAAAGTGTCTAATTAAGTTGTTTGCAGTGCGAAATTTGCACTTGCCCCATGCCCATATGGGACGAGCCAATTCAGATGAGCTGCGAACACCAGTTTTGTTTTTCTTGTTGGAACAGGTACTTGACGCTGAAGATTCAGGAGGGCGACGCTCACCACATTTTCTGCCCTGCTTTCAACTGCCACATTTTGGTCCCAGTTGACATTATAGAGCATGTGGTCAGCGCGGAAATGGCCAGGAGATATTTGCAGTTTGACATCAAGGTATAAAAATTGTATATTGATGGTTTTCCAAAGCATGGTTTCATAACCTTTTTGCCACAGGCGTTTGTAGAGACGAACCGAAGCATTAAGTGGTGCCCTTTGCCAGGATGTGGGAGGGCGGTCAGGTTGCCCCCAGAGTCATATGACAACTCCCTAAGCTCTGCAAATAATGGCCCTTTGAGCACCTCACATGCAGTTGACTGTGGAAATGGTCACTTCTTTTGCTGGGAGTGCTTAGGAGAGGCTCATGCACCGTGCGGGTAAAATTATAAAAAAAATTTATAATAAAAAGAATAAAAAATAAAATTCAGTTGTGAGCAATGGAAAGAGTGGCAGAAAAAAATTTCCGATATCAAACTGGAAGAGTTGGAAACTTCCTGTTCTGGAAGTGAGGAGGCGGCCAATTGCTTGTGGTTGGTCACAAACTCAAAACCCTGCCCCAACTGCAAATCCCCAATTCAGAAAAACGAGGGGTGTAATCACATGAAGTGTTCAAAAGTGAGTTTTAATCTGTTCTACTCTGAGAAATGGGGATTAATTCAAACATGTCTTATAGTGCAAATTTGACTTCTGTTGGGTTTGTTTGGAAACTTGGAAGAAACATAGCTCGGCAACTGGAGGGTACTTTAGATGCAATAGATTTGAGATTGCTAGTCGTCTTGATGAGAAACAAGGCGCCATGCTCAATGAAGCTGCTCAACGCAACCAACAGCTGCAGGAACTCACCCGCTTCCTCCACTACTACACCAGGTTCCGCAACCATGAAAATTCGCAGAGATTAGAATTACCATTGCTCAGCGCCGTTCCACACAAAATGCAGCTCTTGGCCGCCTCACTGCACAAAGCTCAAAACCCAAGGCCTGGTAATTGCCAAAGTTTAATCCCAGTTTAAATTAAAATTACAAATTTTAAAATTTTCAGATTCTTGCAGCACTCTTAAATCTCCAAAACTGCAGAAAGGCACTAAATTCATTGAAGAAGCTGTTAGAGAACTTTTGAAAGCTCGCAGGGTCTTATGTGGCTCCTATGTCTATGGTTACTATTTAGAAGACAATGGATACAATAAGGCTATGTTTGAGCTGATGCAGGTTGTTATCGCCTGAAATCTTTTTTTTTTCATAGATTAGTTAATTGAAAAATTTTAGAACGAGTTAGAGGAAGTGACAGAGAAGTTGTCCGAACAAGTAGCTCGCCCTTATCTACGAACCCCACGGACTGCTATTATGCAAACCACTGCCTTGGCAAGGAAGAGGCGGCACGAATTTGTTAAGGCCATTGACAAGGGGCTGGCACCCCCAGAAACTCCACCAGAGCAAAGAAGAGTAACTGAAATTACTTGTCTTAGCTTCTAATTTAATATTTAATGTTGAAAAAAAAGAATCAGGTTGCTCAAGCAATAGCAAAAAGCTGGATGAAAGATGTGCAAGGAACCCACGTGTTGAACTCAATATTTGAGTGGCCTCGTTTTGAAACTGAACAAGAAGTAATAATTTGAACTGGTTGATTTAAGAAAATATAATTAATTATTTTCCTTTAGGAGACTGATGTTGATCAAGCTATTGCAGTTAGCATAGTAGGCAAATGCACTCGGCCCAATTGTGATCGCCCAAGAGCTAGAAACCCTTGCACAGGCACAATTTATGATTTTTGCAGTCTCAACTGCAGCAGGACATCCACAGGTTTGCAGCATGATGCTGAAAGTAAGTTGTAATTTTAAGATATAATATATATAAATTTATAAATGCAGTATACACTGGATAATTTAAATAAGCTTTGTGATTCAAATATTTCTAAATTAAATTTTATGAGCCAAAATGAGCCATTGCTGATGCGATTTTCAATTATTTGTAAAATCTTTGAATACTTCTTTTTTAGTTACTGCGGATGTTGACCTAGTGATAGCATTAGAAATGTCACGCTTACAAATGATTGAGGACCAAATGAAAAAGCAGCAGAGGGAAATGAGAGAGGGGTAAATATCTATTTAGAAAATTCAAATCACATTTCCCTGACTTTTAAATTTATTAGACTGGCTGGTACCAGCGCCTCCTCTGCCATAAGCATTCCCACTGTTTCCACGCAAAAAGCGGAGGGCGACGACTCTCTGCTGAAACTGGCCATTCACCTTTCTCTGCAAGAGAACAAAAGTCAGAAGACGCCCATTGTGTGCTCAGCCTGCGTGTCCAGCCTGCGAACGCCCTCCCCATTGTCCAATGACAACTCGAGTTCAGTGGACGTCACCGTGGATTCTTTTTTGAAAAGCCTGGCGGCATGCGACCTGGAGACCTTTGACGCCACCATCAGTCGCCGGTGGAACGCCCGATTGGTGGAGGACTCTGACTCAACGACCATCTGCTTCCAAAGTCACCACCGCGGCGGAGGCATGGAGGATGGCCGCTTCGAGATTGGGGAGATCCACGAAAACGGTGGCCGCTTCACCGAAGACGATGCGACTGCGTCCAAAGTCATGCGGAGGTCACACTCGACAGGTGACCTCTGCACCAAGCCGGTCGCAGTGCCCTCCTGCTCGTACTTTGATTCGGACCACAGCCACCATGACGACAAACCTGAGGAACTGGCTCGAAGGAATCTGCGGCAGGCGGCCAGTGCCGAAGACGACCGGCCGCTGGACAGCAGCCCTTCTTGCATGATCAACTTTGGCGGCCAGTCGTCCATCGAGGACACGTCCGACTCGTTGAATGCAGACATGGAGGTTTGCGGAATTCTGGGCACCACAGACGACGACAGCAGCAGGAAGGACGAGGAGGAACTCCTGCCACCCCTCCCACCAAAACCCAGGCAGGACGTCTTCCTCACCCATAAGACCCTGAGGATCCGTATCTGCAAATCTCCCAAACTGGAGACGGACAGCTCCAACGAGTACGAGTCCGAAACTGGAATTCCGAAATCTCCCACCCTGTTCATTTCAGGCGTGTCTATCAGTCGCACCCCTGAGCCCATGTCGCCAGCCCTCGCCGCCCTGGCAGGTCGGCAGTCGCGCTCCTCTAGCCTGACCGTGCCCACGGCCAACAACTCCGTCTCCCCCGACCCAAACCACTCCCCCAAGTCACCCCTTTTGGAGCCAAATTCACCGCGAGGGTCGCGCTCCTCTAGTCTGGTGGTCCCTCCGAATAACATGCTGTCATCAACCTCTACATTGAGCGCAGGGTCGTCCGCCCCGGCCTCCCCCACGTCTCCCTCCTCCCCCAAGCAGGCCAGTTCACCCACCCTGCATTCACCCAAAGGTTCCAAGTCGGCCAGCGAACCTGAGAGGGAGAAGGAAATGTTCCGGTTTCCCAAATCTTCGACGGACGGCAACCTGAGCTCGGTGTTGCTGGTGCAGGAGAGCAACCTGAGTTCAGACGACTTTCATGAGGCGCTCTTTCTGGAAAAGTCGCCAAAGTCTTCAAAACGACGCAAAAAATCAAAAAAGGATCGCAACAGAGATCTAAACGCAGCAGCAGCAGATTCCACGACTGGAAATTCTTCTAAATTAGGGACTTGTCTGTCGACCCCTGTGGCAGAACGGAGGGCTGGAAAGGAGGCGAGCTCAGTTTTGTGAGGCTCACCCTGTGATATAGTGTGGCGAACAGGTTTACACCTTGGACTGCGTTCATTGGATTGGTTTGTTAAATGGCACTTTTTCGTATCACGTAATTATTGAATAAGCGTAAACGGATGAAAAGCGGTACTAAATGTTATTCTTGTGTTCTCTAAAATCACAATTAATTACTTAAAAACAAATCCCCCGGGGAACATAATGCATTTATGAAGACAACAAATAATTCAAAGAATCTTTTAAAATACTGCAAGAGCAATTTGCATTTTAGAGATAAATTTCTGTCACTCTTAGTCGTTGTAAGCTCATTGAAATTTATTTGAAAAAATTTTGAATGACTGATTTAAAACTTGTTATATACACTTTGCAATTCCCTTCTCGCTAGACCCACTTCAATTCTCTGTGATGTACTGTGTAATTAGCGGAGAAATTTACTTGGAATATCAAATTATCATTCTTAATTGATTAGCAGTATCTAAAGAATGATTTTATAAGATGAATTTTAAAGTTTCAAAACTGCATCTCTCGATCTCTTAATAAAATAATAATGAAAAATAAAGTTTAAAAGTGCGTTTTGTATCACGTCAAACTAACTACTGACACAGAAACAAAAATTGTAAACCTTTTGACACAACACTGGACATCACGATTTTAACTGTTAATATTTAATGTATGAGGTGTAACCAAATCAATGGTTTATTGTTGATTTGTATCGTGCAGAAATATAATGAGTTTGAAAATAAATAATTATAGTCGTTGTATATTGCTGAATAAAAGTGAAATTTAACAGCTTTTTCTTATTTTTATTCTATATACAACACCGAGCTGGCAGAACATCAAAAAAATATTTATAACTTTCCATGAACTGCCTAGACATTTCAAAGGTTAATTTTTTTCTTTAGAAAACTGAAAAGGACCATTGAAATGCTACCAAGTTTTCCTTCTCTACAATCAATATCACCTAGTGATGGCCATGGTGGTGTGGATTCCTCATCTCCAGCAACTTCTCAATGGCAACAGTGGCCACTGCAAGACCAAGACCGATTTTGAAGCCCCTGAAGAAGGTCAACTTAATCCTCTCTGACTTGGTGCCCCATGAAGGATCAAACCTCCAGACTTCATTTCTGTTGGGTGAAAACCTTGTTTTAGATATTTGTTTTCCAACAAAATAAATTGTCCATGCCTCAACCAAGGATCCTTTAATCCCTTGGCAGCTAGAGCATTCTGAACTCTCATCAGCTCGGGTACTCCTTCAACTTTATAAATTTTGTAGTCGGGAATCTTGATGGCCTCTCCATGGCCATGTCCGTCACCGCCCATTTTGCACCTGAAATAACTCAATTGCGTTAGAAATTTAGAGAAAAAAGTTATTTGAAACGCTTCGGAATAATTTTCTACCCTCTAACGCAGGATGAAAGATAAAATTCGGCTGGAAAAACAAGAAAATCTTCCCATACCTGAATTTTTGTTTCAGCAGCTGTACGTATTGTCAATGTTGCCAGCATAATATTTTTATAAAAAAATAATAATTATATGATTTAAATTCATTACAACTGCTGAATATTGCAGTTTATTATATTTACATGAAAGTGAGGTAGATGCAAAATAATCATGCAAAATTAACACCAACATCGTTGTTGAACATTCCATTTGTAATTTTATTAAGTTGGTAGTTCAGTTCTCGGGCTCGTCCTTGTCAAACGAGAGAAGACGAAACTTGGACGAAACTCGGTGGAGGCGAACGAGAAATCGACGCAGCGCAGATTGGTGGTAAACAGCAGAAGAGACACAAAAGAGGCAGCGGCGGCAGCAGGGACTACGGTGTGGTGGGGGCGGCCAAAGCAAGCAAAACTCAAACTCGAAGGCAAAAGGAGCCGTGAAGTTGCGAGCAGCGAGTGAAGGAAGAAAAGAAGCTTGCTTTACTCTCGCGTGTTTGGCCGCGGACAATTAGCCCGAAAAAGGCCGAGTGCTTGTGTGTTGGTCGAACCCGCGACCGGCGCCCGTAGAAAGAAATCGCCTCTTTCGGGCCGATTACAAATCTCGGCAGGTTGCAGGTTGCTCTTCCCTTCAGTGCACCTGAGAGCGGGCACAGCTGAGACGCTATGCCCGTGTGAGATCGAGACGGAGAGAGACGCAAACATAAAAAAAACAGTGCATCGTTTTGGAAATTTCTAGTGAGGAAATTATGCCGGGACTGAAAGAGTAGTGGCGACACAATCAATTCGTGCGAAAATGACCAAGAAGAGGGTGGATTTGTACCCCTTGCTGTTGGGTTTGCTGCTCTTCGGCTCGTCCTTTGCATGGCAAGAATTCCCCGACCAGGACACCAAACACAAATCTGAGCCTCAAGCAGGTAAAAATTTAAAAATCAACATTCAATATGATACAATATTAATATTTTCATTCAAATTTAAATGCAAATGAGTGTGCACTGATTTTTAACTTATAAATTCACTCATTACTTAATAATTCTATATTTTCCAAAAATTATTCACTACAATTATTAAGCTTTTTACAATTGAAGATTGAAGAAGCGACAATGATAGAGAATTTTATGAATAAAATCATCAATCAACCTTCAAGTTCCTTTATGTATTTTTCCATGGTGCAAGTTTTTAGTATTGATATTAAATATTGTTTCAAAATATGATATTTCGAAAGAAATAGGAAATTTTGGAAGGGTTTATTTGATTTCTGAATTAAGAGCAGATTAAGAGGAGTCCAAAGTTTCAACCTTTTTTAGGGGAATGTAGAATGTATTCCACGGTTTTGCTCACTGTGCAAAAATCATGTTTTTTAACCGTACTTCTTATTACGTAATTGGAAGCACATGATTCTCCTGTGTTTATTCGAGGGTCATTTGAAATTCAGCGGCTTTCAAACTTCGGCGAAACTATTTGCATATTGAAGACCGAAAACCGCAAAGTTTTGACCTCAGCTTTGAATGTATTCATGTCTTTGGTTGCTGTGCGATGAGCTGGTGCTTAAATTATGAAAGTTTTTAGTTCAAGATATTAAAAATAAATTATATAAATGGTTTCAAAATCAACGATGAGACGCTAAAATCGACGATTTGTCACATCTGCCCACGAAAAGTGATTTCTTCATTGGAAGCACGGCCAAGAGGAAAAGTAAATAAAAGTTTTAAAACGCTGAACTGAAGGCGTTCGTTTTGTTGTGCCCTTGAGCAAGCCTTGTGCAGTGTCATTGCCTCGGACACCAAAAGGCAGGACGAAATCGTTCCTTAGTTTTAATTATGTGCGGCGGCTGAACAGAATAATGATGGGCCACACTTCCTTCCTCCTGAAATCAAATTTGCCAAATGTGGAGCGATTTCGTGCCCTCGGCTAGAATTTCATCCAGCCGGCGTTCATTATGCACGGGCAATGGACGCGGTTCATTGATTTTCCTCGTCTCGCTCACTTAGACGCAGGAAAGGGATGTTTCAAGGGAAATTCCTTTAAAATTTTTGGAAGCCTAACAAAAGTTTATCAAAGGCGAAATTTTTCAAGTGAATTTTTAATGGAAGTCATAAAAGTTTTCCATTTTTATTCTGAAGTTAAAAACTCAAAATAATTTCATTGCTGCAGAAAAGTTAACTTTTAAAGCAATCTAATTGTAATTATTTTGCTGAAATATAAAATCTTAGTTAGTGAGCCGTAATTAAAAATAAACTATTGTATTTCAAAAAATAATGAAGCCATGGGAGCTTTCGGGAGCTTTCAGTTTTAATCTTTCAATTTGAGCCTGAGTAGTTTCCTTAACTTTTTCTTAATTTTTGTCTTACAATTTTTTTCTTGCATTAATTTTTGGAAGTTGCTGATGTGAAATGTTTGATTCAATGGGGAATTTATAGTAAATATGAACTAACTAAAGAACAGAAACGGTCGGGGTGAAGATGGAAAAGCGGTGTTACTCGCTTATTGTCAGCGCGATATCAAATGACTGACTGGCGTTGAAAAGTCAAAGCGCTCGTCGAGACCGAACCACTGCCTCGCGTTTTGTTTCGTTCAGATTCGCGGTTGATGCGGGAAAAAAATTAAACTGGCTCTGCCTCGAGCTCGCGAGCGAAATAAAAGCGATGATCTAATTGTTTGAGCAATAGTTGCCCGCCCTCGGTGCTACAAGTCCCTTTTCGCTCAACCCATCGACGACACGCACAATTTTTACCCCGAAATGAAACCGGAGCTTGGCAAGAGCAACAGCGCCTGTCAGCCGATGAGTCGAAAACCGAACGGAATCTGAGATGGGAATGTCGTTGATTAGCGTGCAATGAAAGAGTGACTTATATGTATGATGAGTCCCGATAAAATTTCAAAGAGCTGAAATTCTACCTTCAACTTCGAGCTCTAAAAGTAAATTAATGTTTTTACCAAATTTGAACAGAAGCTTCAAATCATTTTCTATTGAATATAATTAATTATTATTCTTGCTGTTTATTTTCCCACATTGCTACAAATACATCGTTAACAAAAAAAAATATGACTTTTTAAAATATAAATTAATTTGTTTCAAAGGTATTTTTTTTTTTAAATAAAAACTTTCAAGAACAATTCTTTATGAGTATAAAGTATTTTTTAGAGTAAGATTTTTTTAATTGAATTGAAATTAATTTAAAATTAACTGAATAAAAAAAATTCATTGAATTTTTATTTTATAATTTTTAACTGATCATCGAAATGAGTTTTTTTGTGATCATATTTTTTCCAAATGTCGATATAGAGAAATATTTCTGATAAATTAAATTAATTCTGGTGATAGTTATTTCTTTCCTCAGCTTATTCTCGTGAATTAAAACAATCCAATTTTACTTCCTCTTTTGATATCTTTGAACCGGAAATGTGATGATGGCAGAAATCCCAACTTATCTTCAAATTCTGCCTTCCGAGACAAGAGCGTTTGTCAGCGAGACAGAGCAAAGAGGAAAGACGTTGATTAGAGAGAGCAGCATCCTAATAAGGATACCCGTCTGACCACCACCTCGCGCGGAAATTTCGCAATTCTCTTCCCATTTCCGATTACACAGAGAGGTGTTTCCAAATGGCTTTTCTTCTGCCTCTGTTGTGCTTTTACTGTTTTTCTTTGGCCCTTAATCACACACGGTGATAGGAAAGTTTTTCTATTTTATGGCTCTTTCGGTGTCTCCGTCACAAAAGTTATTAGAGGTATGAAATGTGTGCTTGGGAAGAACGTGCTGTGCCAACAATGGCCCCAGTGGGTTAGAAAGAAACTTAGAGAAAAGTGCACGAGTGGTTTTCGTATAGAAGATTATCAACTTTTTTTGAGTCCCAAAATTATTAATTAATTGATTTCTAAAATCATTTATGAGGAAGATTTCAAAGATAAAAAAAAAAAAAAAAATGAAATAAAGCAAATAAAACATTCAGTATTAAAATTCTATGAGAATTTTGTTTGCAAAGATCATAACAATTGAACAATTGCAACATAATGCATACAATTTATAATGTATAAATTTTCTAAGTTCACTCATTTCTGTTTGAGTCTGAAGTTAATTGCTTTGTGCTTTTTATATTTTTGCAATAAAATTATTCAATGTTAAATATTTTTAGAAAAAGATTTATTTTTTTATCTTAAAGAAATTTAAAAAAAAGGAAATCGCAGGTACTTTTTATTTCTGAATGACTGTGAAAAAAATTCATAAAATTTGAGCTTGTGATAAAAAAATTCACACAAACCAGGAGTCCACTGGTGGTTGGACTGTTTTTCCGCTAAATGAATTTGAACCTTCGGATAAGTTCATATTTTTCTTTGTTGCATGATAATTTTTTGTCACTTTCAGAAATTTTATGTCTGATTCTGCAACAATGACTCACGAGCAATTCATCAAAACTTTTTTCCACATCCTGCTTGAATGAATAACTTTTGAAACCAAACCAAAGGAAACTCAAAAATTGGCTATTCTCATGAATGACGAAGTTAGCGGTCGAAGCTTTTTTCTAACGCTTCAATTCACTTTCGCGAGGACCACGGGCGGGCCAAAAGAAAATAAAAGCGTCGACCTTGAAGGGCAATTTTTTTCGCGCGCGCACCGAGCCGACTGGTTTCAATCTCACCTGTTTGCTGTGAAAAGGGACCATTTCCGTGAAACTGCGCGTTTATCAGTGTGAATTGTGAATTTATTTGTGAATGGAGAGAGATAGCAGCGCACATTCAATTTCTCTCGTCGTTTATTTACGCAGAGATAAATAAAGAGGCGGAAGACGAGAATTTATTATTAGAACGCAGCCGGCGTCTGCTGGAATTTAAAGGGAAGACCGCGTTTAAAATTAGTTAAAAGAGAGATACATTCAGTTTGACGAATAGTAAATTAGTAAGGTCAAATTCTTGACCAGACGAAATACTTTCGCAATGTTTTGTGCAAAATTAAAAAAAAAATATATATATATAATTATTAAATTTACTCAATTTGAATTCGCGATTTTTTATTTAATCAGACATTTCATATATTTAAAAACTTTAATTCCTCAGATTTGCACATTAAGAACACAACATTTTTTTGAGAAACTTGTTTAGAACAGACCCAAAAATTTTTCCTACACCTTCTTCTCTCAAGCCCATAAAAATAAACGGTTCCGGGCTATCTGAGCGAGTGTCGCGTGTTCGCCGCATTGGCCCTCCCTGTTGAGGAGATTTTACGGCTCACTCGCTCCCGTCGTAAAGCTGAAATAAACTGGGCTGAATATTTAACAGCAGCTTTAAAAATTGAAAAGGGTTCTTCCTCCTTGAGACGCAAACGCTTAATTACGTTATTGTCTTGCTATACTTTTTACATCAGACGTCCTTGCTTGCACGCTACACCAGATGCAGCTCGTTAGGAAGAAGCAAAAAAATTAATTTGCAAGATTGTTGATAAATGATTCACACATGCATTGCAAAGGCAATTCGTTACATTCTCTACAGTCTTCAGCGTATCCAATTAAAATGTTGTAAACTATATATTAAGGACTTACTATTGACATCTAGTCAAATTAAGTCTTTACATAACAATGTTGGTTTTATTTATTTAATTGTTTTCCAATTATTGATAAAATGGCTCCTATTGTTAACGATTTGATTTGACTATGTCAATGAGGAGGACTGAGTTAGAAAACCTTGAATATTTGCTACAAAAAACTCTACAATCGAATTCAGACTTACTTTTTTTTAAATTTAAGCTCATATTACATCATTATATTGCGTAAAGCATAAAAAAGCATAATTTTTTTTTTAAATAAATTGAAAATCACAATAAAAATTTTCCACCTGAAGCGTTGAAGCCGCCTTTTTTTTAATTTAAATATTCATATGTCCCAAAGAATTTAAAAAAAAATGTTAGTGCATTAAATAATGCGG